AACCATTCTCACAAAAACATGACAACTTGTTGACACTTACAAAGAAACTATTTAGAATATATCTCTAAGTAAGTGGTAACCATTGGTACATTTGGAATACATTTTAAATCCAGAAAATGCTTAAAAATGTTCAGCATTCACTAATGATAGGTGTAACATGATCAAACTCAATCAACAACTCAAGAAAAACAATAAAAATATTTGACCTTAAGCAATTAGGTATTGGCAACATAAAATAACTTTCATGGTTTTCATGGTAACACAGTGTAGCCATACAAAATTTGTTGCTAAAATTTGGTTAATCCTATGATCTTGAGGGAAAACATGGAAATTCAAGACTGGCAAATATACATCGTTAGGACTTTGTAACACATATAGCGTAAGAAAAATTGGGATTAATTGCTACTTTGAAGCGTAAAAGGGTTATGTAATTTTTTTCTGCAATAGCTGCGACGTTAATTCCCGTACTAACAACTAAAGAAAGATATTTTATTGTTTATATTTATATCTGTATAAATAATCATTTAAAGTAGGACTAAAAAGATTAATTATTGTATTATTGATATGTACGTCATAGTACGTTTCATTGATGGAACAGTCACTGATCAAGAAATCTGTACAGGTGATATGGCTTGTGTTGTTCATGAACTGATAAACGGCAATTGTTTTCTTTAGAAATAAAGGAGAAAATATTCAGTGGATGTAAATATTACAAAAAAGGGACAATTATATTGGAATTCTTTGAAAATGCTACTCCACCTATAAACCCATACACAGCAGAAAAAAGAACAAGTTATGTTTCTATATGATTAAGTATGTCAATCATACGGTTAAAATATATGTGGAACATGTTAAACATATTTTTTCTTATTTATGTATGGTTAACATATCCATGTAGCTATGCACACGCTAACAAAGAAACTCGGCTTTGGTATAATTTGATAAGGAATGCATTTCCGTTTTAAAAGTTCATGAAGGTATGAATTGATACTTATATTTTACTATTTTACTAAGCGTGTAAGCAGTACATGAAAGAAAAAAAACTGGAATACATTACTTGCTTTTCAGGGTTTTTTTTTTTAACCCCCCCCCCTTAAAACCGTTGCTATTGGTCTGATATGAAGACTCTTCATGCAATATGTAGAAAAAAAAATAACGTCTAGAAAAAGACAGAATAGAGAAAGCAAAATTACATTAATGCCCCTGGTTGTACTAAATTACTTTTACCATGTATGCCACCAGTAAGTTTTAATAGATCATGCAGTTAAAAAAAGCTTAGGCATTAGTAGGATATCGGCTTTCGTTTGTTTGTGTGTCTGTTAATTTTTTTTAAAGTACTACCAATTCATCAGTTTTTGTCATATTTAAATAAAACTTTTTATATAACAGGCAACATCAATTCTGTATATCAGTTTTTGAATACTGTTGCAATGGTTACTCTATCAAAATATTATTTTGAAATTCCTTCAAAATGTTCCTACAGTTTTGGACCAATTTTGGTGCATTTGTAGAGTAATTAAGATACATAATCCTTTTTATTTTTAATTTTTTAGCTTAAAAAATTATTGGTTATTTCAACTTTTTGTGCTGCAGTGGTTAAGTTTTGTAAATTAACCAATCGATTAATGAAGGTTAGGAAGTCTAACATGCATTCGTGTTTTTGGTCGCATTGCGCCTTCGCGCAGCTTCCTCCATGATTAAATTTTCAAATGTGGAGAACCCTGGAAGAGCATTGATCAATCGAAGTCACTATATAGCTACAGTGTAAAAATAATAGAACATATGTTAAGAAGAGTCAGGTAAACATTTTTTTTTAATGAAGAGTTATTTATGGGGGGAAAAACATTATTTTTAAAAAAAATATATTTTTAAATTGTTCAATAAACGTGGCACCTATGGAAAAGAAGTACCATGGCAATTGCATTTTTAAAAGAAATAAAATAGAATATAAAAATAAATTTTAATGGTCTAAGAGAAGTCTTAAAGATTTTAATGTGGTACTTTTTAAATGTTAATCAAGAATATTCTTTGTTTTATAGTTTTTGGAAAACCGTTCTCTTTGTGATGATTGAATCGAGTATAGAAAAACTTTGCAGTAGGGTGGATAGCTCCGGGTAGAACAAAACGGATAATTGCATGGCAGATATATAATAATCATGGCCGTAGGAACCGGAAGGGGCACGGGGGGTGTCCCCCTCCAATAATTTTGCCGGCATATAGAGTACTATAGAAAAAATAGATACTTTATGCTTGTGCCCCCTCAATAAAAATGCCTGATGGCCTTTTTTTTTTTTTTTTTTTTTTTTTTTTTTTTGCTTGTCAAGGAATTTTTGGTAGTTGATAGTGCCCCCTCAACTGAAAATGTATGGCTGTCCCCCCCCCCCCCCCCCCAAACTGAAATTGCTTCCTACGGGCCTGATAATATACCTTATGAAGAGAAACATATTTGGACAAAATCACGGTCACCCCGCCTCTTCTTCAATTTTACTCCTGATCATCACTATATGACACTGACCTTTGAGATTTGATTTTCAGTCAAGGCCGTTGCCCACTTTTATGTCATCATTAGCAACATATACACTTTAATTTTTTTTTTTTTTACATGTATGTAAGTTACAAAAGATAGAGAGAAAATCCACAAAGAGAGATAACTTTTAAGATTGTGAACGTCGTGTATTTGCACTGTGTCCTTTGGGCACCTATGGTAATTAGGAGGGAAGTGTCTATCGGCACGACGGTCGTGCCGATTATTTTCGTTATTCGCACGACGGTCGTGCTAATTACAGTTCTTATCCGCACGACACAAGAGAGATAACTCTAACATCACATACATCAACAAACGTAAACTTTTCACCAAAGAAAAGGGATGCACCTAATACACACATGTAGAACTAATTATAACATTCAGTGAAGCAAAATTTGCTTACGTTGAATTTTCTTCCTGAATCATTGTGACACAGTATTAATAATAAGAATTAATATTTTATCCATCCTTTATATCATCTCTTAAATTGGGTATGTACTTCTAAAGTTATTTTGATTGGAAATATAAGAAAAAATTAAAAGCTATTTATTTCAATAATTTTCTTTCGTTTTATGGTGTTTATATCCTCTTTCCATAATTTTTAATTTTTTTCTGGATGGTCTTATTAATCTCTCTCTCCTCTCTCTTTCTCCCTCCAATATACTGCAGACGTACTTTTTTCTCGTGGGATTAACTATTAACGCTATGTGCAAGGTCAAAAGATTTCCGCAAAAATTTTATCACAGCGTACAAGTTTAAAAATCCTTTTAATAAAACATACAAAGGCAATAAAAAATTCGACTAATTTTCTGTCCGCGAATTGAACAGAATTCGATCGATATTCCGTGGAATTGTGACCCTGTGCAAAAAATAACGTTAACATATTTACTTTATATAGATATTATAATATGATTAAAATATTCTGTCGTATTTACCGTAATTATTTTATTTTAAAATTAATTTTTATTTCAAACAGTAAATGATCAATTTTTAATATATTCATGGAGGATTTTTATTTTAGTAAATTTCTGCATTATTTTATACTTTGACAGTGAACATATATAAAGTTTCGTCTCATCGTTTTCTTTTTTAAGTATGTTGATCAAAATTGTTTGGGGGTTTTCAAATATACAGGGCCATTTAAATTCATTCAAAAATTCTTTAAAATTAATATGATACGATATAATCCATGTCCATGAAAGAAAAGGCAAAATAATTCACTGAATTTAATTTCAGAGTAGCAAATATAAATATTTAAAAAAAAAAAAAAAAGAAAAAAAAAAGCATGGGATGGATTCACATCTAGTCTACTCTATTGCAACATTGAGACCGTAGTCTTGATTCCAATATAATAATTCAGTCATTTTTATATGTATCATAGGACACAGATTACCAATTATTTCGCTATAATATATTCCTTTCTAACATGAAAAATTAATTTAAAGAATTTCACCGCCTCAACTCACCTGAAATTTGGCAAAGAGCTAAAACAATTCAAGTCTTAAAAAAAATTCTGAATTTCGGGAAAATTTGTTGTGTAGAAGCCATGCTATGACACCTCAAATAGCCCCTACACTGCAAATATTTCATAGTCCCTTAAAATTTGAGATGCAGGTAAAAAGCCTTCTTTATACCCTTCCTAAAAGCAAAGATTCCAATATTGTAATTAAAAAAAAATCCAGACATTTTTCTATCTAAATTCAAACCATTCCCAAGGATTTTAAAGGAATTTTTTTTTTTAATGGCACTACTTGCACAAAATGGGGTGAATTAACCGTCAGTGTCAGACTGTCCAGAAGCTTTTTTTCTAATATATTAAATTGAAATTTGAGTGTAGTTTTTCGAGAAAAGGGCATTATTTTTCTTTTTGAAAAATCGTAATCGTACGTAATTATACCGCGGCAAACAATAGGTTAATTACATCATAGATCTAACGTTAAAGCTTATGTACATTGTAGCCTTTGATGAGCTAGGAATTTCTGAAGAGAAAGCATGGTAAGGGATAAGTTCACTTTTTGTGTCCGTTTAATCTTATATACTATAGGTCCCTGGTCTAATATGTAAAATTCGCTTTGAGTTTCTGCAAAACGCCGAGTAAAAAATATAAATAATTTAAAGTTACAAACAAAAAAACAAATATAATTTTTTTTCTTCAAAGTTTGTCGTGCGAATAGTCTCCGTAATCGACACGACCGTCGTGCGGATAACTTCAGTAATCGGCACGACCGTCGTGCGGATAACACCGGTAATTAGCACGACCGTCGTGCGGATAGCCTCGGCCAATTAGGAGTGTCTAAAGTTTTGTTGTTGTTTTTTTTAATCATGTAATCATGTATGATAAACATATAAATGCTAATTATGCTATTCATTCAAATTTGATGGCATTAAAATTTTCCCCGAGAATATTTGTGTAAAAGAAAAAGAAGAGTGTCCGTGGTGAACTTTTTTAATCCCCCAATGAGTCACGTGACAGGAAGTTGATATTATGTTGAATCAAGATGGCGACTTATTGTCGAAAGAAATGAGAATATGTGAAATAAATTCAACAGAATGAAGGTATTTGAGGATTTTTTATGATTTATTGTTTTATTGTATTGTTAATTTATTCTGAACTATTTGATGATATTTTTCTATATTTTGTTTTGTAAAAAGTTGACTGATTAAATCGGACTTGTCATAACGTAAGACGAAAGATAACATCAATTTCAACAAAAACTAGTCGTAACTCTGAAAGAAATGAGAGGAAGTCGTTATTATATTTTACAAAGAAGATGTTTTGAATGATATATTTTATTTTTTATAAAAACTTAAACTTCATTGATATCAATTTGATAAAACCGGTATCATTGTTCTTGTTTTATCATGTTCATTGAGACACCTATCCACTTGGGAGTGGAATAATTTTTTTTTTTTTATGAGGAAATTTAAGAAAAGAAGTCTGTTGTACAGAGAACACATATGATGCATTTTAACTGTAATAAATATGATAGCATATATATGTACATTAATTGATATATATTTATAATGATTCATGTGCAATTATTCCATTTCAGACAGGAATGATTAAGTACAGAGATTATTGGTGAGGAGTTGAACCATGCTGGAGTTTATGAATTGCCATACTTTAGTATGCTGGTTATTTGTTATTTGGAATATTACAAATCAATATCATGTTATAGGTAAGTCATAAGTCAGTGGAAATATTATGTATCAGAAATTTTGATTTCATGTTATCTTTGTGCAAGCTACAAGATTGTTCAAAATATGCATAATATCATATTAAAAAGCAAATAACAAAAAGAGGAAGAAAAGCACACACATTAAAAAGAACATTAATTTTAATGTCTTGGAAAATTCCAGTTATCATGATTAGTTGTCTAAGGTATTGTCAGAATGTGAGCATGAAATGAATTTCAATATATACTGTTCACTGAAGAATCCAAGGATAATAAATTTTATGGAAAATATATGAGGGAGTTACTTTTTATTGTTCATTGCACAAGGTTAAGTGATGTAACATTTTGTAAGGTAGTATATATACACCTCCTACATTTTATCTGTTAACTTTATTACTTTATAAGGCTAAAGACTCTTTAAATGAAATTAACATAATCAGTGTTGTACCAGTTTCTTACAACTTGCTATCTTATCTAATTATTTTACTGTGCCTTATGACAAGTGATTGGAGCGTATGTATTATATTTTTTCACATGTACAAAGTATTAAACATGTTAAGGCTGAAAAAAGGTAACACTTTATATCCATTCAGAAAGTTTATAACCCCTCAGTTTTGGCAGTGTTTGATATGCAATCATAATTAACCACTAGTTAATACTATTTGCTCATGAAGTATACATTGTGGCTATCCGTGATAGTAAAATACTCCAAATATAGAAATATCTGGCATAATGGTCATTTCAACAAATTTTTGCATAGTGATAATTAGAAACAAATTGTATAATCTCAAAAATAGATCTTCAAATTGCAATATCTTAATGCTTTGTCATAAGATTAAGAAAATGTGTGTTTCTCAATCATAAACATGATAAAGTAATATTCATTGTTGTGCATCATTATAGGAAAATGACTGAGATTTTCCATGAATAATAGATGAAGAAAGAATTATTCCTCATAGGAATTCTTCCCTTTCTTTGTAGCTAATACCAGTATGTTAGTAAACTTTATTTCAGTGCTTTCACTGAGTTTTATAAATTAACTTGTAATGATTGATAAAAGCTGGAATAAAGATATTATTTTTTCACTTTAGTGTAAGTTGGTATTCATGACAAAAAGTAACAACAGTTCAAGCTCAAAAGACCAAATTCTTGACCCACTAATAAATCAATAGAATACAAAAGTACCCTCCTTGTAAAATGACTAAGGCAATTAGTTTTATGACACTCAGACCATCTGCTGATACAATGTATACCATTGAACATTTGTAAGAGACCTTTAGATTGTTGAATTTTATGCTGTCTTTTCATTTATTGTAATATGTCTGCATAAAGATCAGCTATAAAAGAAAAGTTTTTAGGTATTTAGACAATTTTGTTTGGTCAGAAAACTTGAGTTTTTAAGTCCTAGACCATGTTGACTACATGTACCTATATTCATCACTCTCCTAAGAATTTACTCGGAGTCCTTAATTCTGTTAAACCAAGAAATTAAACATCTTGATACAAAGAATAGATGGCCAAGATGTTAAAAATGAGATTTTGTACTTGTTCTTATGACAGTACAATTTATTACCACAGTGTCATATTTTGTACCTAGTCTTCTTTGCAAAGTCACATCAAATCTTGAAGGGCATTCACAGTACATGTATATATGTATATAATATATGGTCTGTTTTAACATGTTAAAGATCAGGAATAAAGAAATATTTGATATAAGAACGTCCCATGAAAATCATACTGAACGTATGTCTATGCTGGTAAATCACATATGTCTGTGCTGGTAAATCAATCAAGATGAACAAATTTACAAAGTTGAATTAAAAGTTTAATATACATTAATACGAAAAAGATGTGAAATTATTGAACCTGATTTTGATTAAATTTTAAGCCAATTTTGAACTACATGAATAGTGATTTGTAAGAATTATTAAATATATTGAGACTTATATAGTAGCATGGAATTTCAATCCTGAAACACATGCTGTAATATAATATTTCCTGTGGTTTATTTTGGACGTGAGATTCATGTAATAGATGCCATACTTAAAGCAGTAATTTTACATGAAAAAGGTCTTTTATTTTCTATTGAAACTAATTCTACATACGAGTTTAACAAACTTTCAAAAGGGGGTTTAAGCTTTTGAATTTAGATATATTGAGAGGTGTTTTTAATAATCAATTATATTAAGACAGGAGGTATTTTGAAGAGGAACCTCTCTTTAGATAAAGTCAATTATATTGAACTATAGAGATAATCTACTAAAGTGTGCAGAAATTGTTATATATCACCAGGTGTGCTAAGTAATTACTGGGACACAAGATATACGTTATGGTGAAATTAGACACCATGCTAAGGTGTCGCTAGCCTAGTCAGACATTGCAGCATTTTTGTGGTTTTCCATAGATAGAATATCATTGCCAAAGTAAACAAACACTGTCTTCTTGTGTTAAAACCTGGTGAAATATGAATTAATGTATCAAAACTTCTTCTTGGTATTGCAGTAAAAATGCAAGTAGGAGTGTTTATATGCATAAATGAATTTCATACATTAGACATTCTTCCATGTTGTCACTGTTAAATTTGAGCTGTAAATTTCATGACGTGGACAGGTTTAAACCTATTTTAATATTTTTAAAGATCCACTCAGAATGGATACGATATACAATGATTTTTTTGTTTGTGTTCTCATGTATTCTTCAGCAGGTCATTAACATTACATGATGAGTAAATTAAGAGATATTAGGGTAGATGAACTATGTTGAACAGTGAAAATGATGAATTTTTTTATGGCGATTACGAGGGGAAGAATCTTCAAAGTGATGAGCAAGATCAATGAAATAACATATATCTGTTTTGTAATAAGTTCAGAAATTCACACATGGCCTTAATTTCTCCCTCACGTTTTTTGGCCATGTGGAATATTTCATATGGCTTCCTTACTGCATTTGAGAAGTAGAAACTTTCTCTGTTACTATTATAACAGAATGATTTGTCAGTAAGAAGGTGAGATTGGTTAAGTTTTAAGTTCCTACCACAGAGCATATGTTTGCAAAAAAAGAAAGAAAAATAATTATTTCTGTATTTGACATTGCCATATTTAAAGTACTAGCAAAATTCAATCAAAATTATTTAGTTTTTAACTGTCAAATAAGACTGACATTTTGAAAAATCTCTGCCACAGACTAATTTGTTCTGGCTCAATAGGAACAGACTCTCCAAAGATAGAATAGTATTGATTTACTATAGAGAAGAGTGATGTTAGGAGTAGAGGATTAACTGTCCTTAGGAGCTTCAACAGCATAACACAAGTGACCTTAAAACACATCTACAGAAACTCATTAAGGAAAATCTGACACTGAGTAAGTGCTGAGAAAGATTTCTTCCTCAGTGGCTAAAGGGAATAAACTGGGCTGAGTCATTAATGCAATGAAAAAAAAAGTCAATTAGTCCTTGGGAAATAACAGAGTGTCCCAGTCTGAACTCTTCACCCACTCCATGTATTGATTGTACGGGGGTTCATCCTCTGTAGTATAACGAGACAGAGTCCTCTGTAGACAGAGATCAGGGTATCAGGTGCTAGATCAAGGTGTCACGATTCCTACAGCAGTAACTAGGTGACTCTATATATGACATTGTCAGTAGTGTATTCCTTGTCTCAGGTTGTCTGTTGTAGAAAAAAAAGGTTTTCAGTACCCTGAATGTTAAATGTAGATGTGAAAAACTGACAGAAAATATGTGATGTGAATGAGTATTTATAAGATCAATTTATAATTTGTACTCATTGTTATGTACAGTATATACATTATCATAATTGAACAAATAAATAATTAAAGCTAATTTTGAGTACATGCAGTATAATTGGTAAGCAATATTCCCATTAAAGTGAGATTCCTGGATTAATTGAGAAAACCCCAATTAGGAGACAAAAGATACCCGTAGGAATGTGCCGAACATGATAAATGATTTATAGACATGACAGAGAGTATATGTGTTTGTATATCTGTATATTCCTTTTGTTTGTTATTCTCATATAATTTTTGTAATCAATACAGTACACATAGTTTGAGATCACTTGAATTCATGTTTGTGTCATTTCAGTTCAAGGCCAGATAATTACCACTCAAACATCAGAGAATGCCAGTAGTATCCCCAGCTCATCCCCTACCCCCTCTCCAACAACCCCTACTCCACAAAAAGTCACCACCCAAGCTGTCACCACCACTAAGCCAGTACCTGAACCAGTGATCCCACTAAACATTGCCTATGGACAGGTGGGGCAAAATGCTTCTGTGCCTTGTTTCATTGATGCATTGGCCATGTTCCCAGACAAGATGTTGTCCACCACATGGAAGAAAAATCAGATGTTTATAGCTAATGCTGCCATGGGTGTGGATGGTAAATTGTCCCTGACATATTTGGACGAGGAGCTTAAGAAGAAATTCCAGATAGAGGAAGACTATAGCTTGGTGGTGACAGAGCTGGAAATGAAGGATTCTTCTAATTTTACCTGCACTGTCATCAAGTTTCAGACAGACCAGCGATTGGTGCAGGATGTCATTTACACCAATGTCACCTATCTTCTGGTTCAAGGTCAGAGGCTTTTTGTCGTGTACTTAAAAAAGAAGCATATCATAAAATTTACATTTCAGTTACCAGTATTTTATCTACTTTTAAAGCATTGAAATGTCTTAAGGGTCAGTTTTATTGTTAATGCTAATTTATAGCTATTTAGCATTATTAATAAATTGTTTTTTATTTTATAATTTCATAGTGTTAGGGTCATAATAGAACATGCATGTATTTTGTAAAAACACCCATTTTAAATTCTCTTATAAAGTTGCAGTACTTGAATGTCAAGCTTACCGTAACTTCAACAAAATGAATGTATTGAATGATTGTTTTTATCAGTATCCATCTGTCAGTGAAGTAAAACTATACACTTACATGTATTCAAATACTGCTATTTATGATTGTAGGACATCAAAAGCTTTTAAAGCAGAACAGTCTTTGGATTTTTAAAAAAAAATTCTTCCCTCCTTTTATATTTGTTAGACCCTCTTAAGTTACTTTGAATCACAGTAGCTTCAGGCCTGATACACATACATGTACGTTCGTTGAATTCATGTTGGGTTAGAATTTTGTTTTGTTTTTACAGATGTGCCTTCTCCTCCAGGACGCCCTAATATCTTAGAGAAATCCTCCCGAACAGCCAAAATCAGCTGGGCCCCTAGTCTGGCTGAGAACAACAGTCCCATAATGCACTATTCTGTCAATGTCATGTAAGTTGGTGTACCTTAGATATTACAGGTTGGCATTTAGATCATCTCCGTGAGATGACGGACATTTCCTGTCCTTTTATCTAGAAATAAAGTAATGAAACTTTACGCAGGTTTCTTTCAAAGTGAAGGATTTTAATGCATGCATTATACATTTTATAAGGGTTGAAAATTGATGTATTTGTTTTGGGATTTAAAAAAAAACACATTGGGGAAGGAAATCATCTGTTAACAATGTTATCTTTGTTTCACAATGCATGCTCTTCTTTTAATATTTTCACACTTTTTGTTTGCATTTGCACTGAAGCTGAGCATTTGATTTATGATTAACTAGGAATGGAACTTTGATCAATCAAGCCAATAGTCACTTTTCTTCTAGACACAGATGGTAATCAAACTAACTGGGGATTGCTTTCTAATACAGTTTACATGCTACTTGTCTTAGGAAGGTTTAGTCTGGAGCAGAATAACTTATTCTTTTCTGTATAAAAGCTGCTTGCTCTGAAGTAATGGGGCATAGAATACAGTCACAGCATTTTATTTATCTTAATGGGCTTTAGTAAATACTACGTCATTCTGATCAAAAATCCCCCGTGTGTCTGTCCTCAGCAATACATCTGAAAACTTTTCACATTTTGATTTCTTCCCTTGATGACTGAGTAATTATAACCAAACCTGCCAAAAGGCCTTAGTACATTCAAAAATATAATTGTGTATAACTACTGGGGCCAAACATGCCAAAAGCAAAAAATCATAGCTATTTTTTTTAGTAGATTCAAGGTTTTCAAACCCTACCCCCTTGTAGTCAGGTTTGGACTGCCATAAGTTTTCACATTCTATAGAGGAACATACAGGGATATTTAGAGAGAAGGCTTAACGTACAGAAATATTCAGACAAAAAGCTGAACTTTTAGTTTGATTTTTAACATTAAAATATACCCAATGGAATTAAATAGAAATTTAAGCCTTATAAATTCAGCCTGCCTCTCACTCCAAAAAAAAAAAAAATCTTCAAAAAGTTCTCAAATTCTTAGTTACAACATGGCTACAGTTTCTTAATAGGGAGCTTCCGGAAGTAGTATAGCAGAGGTACATGTATTTTCAAACGAGGGCCTCTGATAGGTGTTCAAAATTTTTACGTAGGAATTTATATGCATGTATAAGCTTGTAAAACCATTAGTGTTTTAGTGTGTCGATATCATAGATATGCAGGAATCAATTAATGTATATTATAATATATACATGATATATTAACATCATGCTTGTTTTGGTGGAGTCATTACACCTTGGAAATTTATTTTAGATTTGGGTGAGCATTGTAACCTGTTGGTCTCTTTTACAAATTTAACATTTGTTACCTTATCTGGAGAGACTTGCAGTGATTAAATTTTGCTCATCTACTAAGGTCTATCATGTCCACTGTTTATAACCTTGCTAATTAATATTTGACTAAATATATATATAATATTTGTGTAGTGGTATTTTCCATGCACAATAAGTTAACCAGCTGGAGTGACCTCAATTACCATGATGAAGACAACTTACTTTATGGTAATCATAGGTCACAGAAAATCATTTGAGCTTTAACAAAAAGATTCTTTTGTTAAGACCTAGAGTACAATAAGTATTTGACATAGAAGGTTCACATTGGGGAAAAAATTATTTTACACATGCTGCTACCCCTAAATTTTGGAACTGTACATGTCAATCAAAAGTTCACCTGGCCACACCCAGTCAACTAATTGTGCAGATGGTGAGTTTTGACCTTGAACTTCATTGACTTTATCATGGTCAAGGTCATATGAATTCTTTAAGTCCATAGCTTTATTTCTGAGAAATGTTAGAAGCTTGTATTTGCATTAAGGCACTGTAGGATCTGAGAGTGATGTGTCATGGTCCAAGGTCATCTAAAGAAACTCAAAAGTCAAAGAAAAAAAAAATGACATTCCTCACCTTTAAACAGAGGACTATGCTTAGGGGTTTTAGTGATTTATAAACACATATTCTTTGTACATAGATTTATTATTTTTATTATATTAATTGTAGGAATAATGTGGGTATCAAAGTAAAACAAGTTTCAGTGTTTACCAATGAAAATCCTTCTGCTGTGTTAACTGGTCTTCAGCCCTACACAGCTTACCAAATCACTGTTTCTGCTGTCAACAAAATTGGCACCAGTTTAGAAAGTCAGCCTAGTGATATTTTCTACACTGACTCTGAGGGTAAGAAAATTGCTTTGTTATACCACAAATACATATTTGAAGTTATGATAGTTAACATTAGTATCAAAAATCTAATTGGGAATAAATATTTGCATGATTTTAACAAATATTCAGACAGCCAACAAATGAAGGGATTTAAAGTCAATCAGTAAATTGAAATACCAAGACAAAACTGGTGTTGTATTTATCATTACCTGTAATTACTGAAAAAGGATTACTTGGTGTTAAAATTATCAATTTGAATAGCAGAAAAGCTTAAATGTACCTGATATGTAATTTGGAAAGTAAGAATCCACATTCATACCTTCACATAGTGATTGTTACCGTATATACTCGCCTATAGGTCGGTTTTTTGGGAGTTAAATTTTGGTCCAAAACTCTATGTCCGACTTATAGGCGAGTCATAAAAAGATTAGTATTTTTCTGGACTGCGAAATGTAGTATTCTATAAAGATTTCCAAGGATTATGGTTCAACAAAGTCTGGATATATATAATATCATTTACGTATTCTAAGATTACACATAAAGTACAAGTATTTACATATTTTGATAACTTTTATCTTATCCTAAGTATGCATTTAGTATTTTTCTTAATGATTTAAAATTAAATATCGGCGTCATTTCTAAAAATATTAATTTGAAATTGTCAACTGATTCTGGCAAAAAGTTGCACCGACTTATAAGCGAGTCAATGGCAAATTCCTCCAAAATAACCTAAAAAAAATACAACCGACTTATAGGTGGACCGACTTATAGGCGAGTATATACGGTAAATGTGTGTGTGTTTACAGTTCCTGAGGCTGCACCACAGCACCTGGTGGCCACAAGTAACATCAGTAGCAGAATACATCTCTCCTGGGACCCCCCACCCAAAGACAAGTGCCATGGTAACTTAGAGGGATACAGAATACAATATACTTCACAAAGAGATTTGATAAACAGAGTCATCACATTGGAGGATCCAAAGAAAACTGTAGGTGTAGTTTAGGTTTGGGTGCAGAATACGATTAACTGCAGGGGGATAAGTATACACATGTTTGTGTGTTAGATATGGACTGAAGGTGATTTACATCTAGGATGTACTAAGCTCTTTCAAAGTAGATTTACATGTGTATTTATTCTGATCATGTGTTAACTTACATCAAGATACATAAGAGTAAATTTAGGTATTTATAAGTGTGGAAAAGTAGTTGAGATATATTTTACTTAACCTATAACTGTGAAGTTGCATTTTGTCTTGACTTCCTGTTGAATTACTCTTTTTAAACCATAATGATGTTATGTTTTAGTAAAATTCTGCTGACATAAAATTTACATGTGCTGGAAGTTACATGATTTATTTCATGTTACAGCTACCATTCTTTCAAATTATTCAAATGTATAGATAGGTAGTGATTGAGATTTTGCATTGTACCATTTCAGAAAATCACCCTGTTTGGACTACAACCATTTGAGGAATATGAAGTGGCTGTGTTAGCCTTTAACAATGTTGGGGAAGGACCAGCTGTCAAAAAGCTCATACGCACTGCTGAAGGAAGTAAGTGATTGTTTTTATTTTATTTTTTGAGCATAATTTTTATTTTCAGTTTAAGGCCTTTTTACTGAATCAAACAAAACATACATGTTTATTGTACATGAAGCATTTCATGTTGTTTTAAATACTTTATTAAGAAATTAATGCATGCATCTTCAAAAATTTATTAGCTGATTTTAGGTTTGGAAAAAAAAAATGTCTGAAAGTGACGTTAAACTTGTGTAATGAGTATTAATTAATCTAAACTTTTCATTAGTTCCAGGTAAACCTCTGATGATCCACACAAACACACAGCCTATGTCCACATCATTCTTTGTCAAGTGGCTGGCTCCAGATCGTGTAAATGGATTCATCCGGAGTTACGAGCTTCGCTGGCAGCACGACAACATCACCAAGACTAAGGTCATTTCCAAGTATCTCAATAACCCCATGCAGGAGCAGGTCACCAACTTAAGTAAGACTTCGTTCTAATAAAAAAAATTCAGAGAAAGCATAGTAAAACATGTTTACAGTGAACTCACTTATAATAAATTCATGCTCACAGCAAAGTAATTTTCATTCTCTGTAGTTTTAAATGCATCATTAGCTCAAAGGATGTAGCAAATTATGTTTATAATTTATCAAACATTGTACCCCTGGCACTTCAATATGAGCATGCTTACTGTGTCTTTTCTTTAAAAAAAAAGAAGAAGATGTGTTGGTGAAACACTGATGCCCCCGTATGGCAACTTATAGCGAAGGTTAAACTTTATCAAATGCATATCAAATATGTTGCTATCCAAAATAAGGTCTTGTCCCCAGGAATATACCTGTGAAATATGATAGCCCTAGCAGTAACCATCGAAAAGATATGGAAAAGGTTAAAATTTTTCAAAAGTAAGTCAAACATCAAGGTCAAATGGTCGAAATTAATGGTGCCCAAGGAAAGGCCTTTCAAGAATTACACATGTGAAAAATGAAAGCCCTAGCACCAACCATTCAAAAGATATGGCCAAGATTACAGTGTTTCAAAAGTAGGTCAAACTCCAAGGTCAAGGTCAAAGGGTCACAGTTGTTTGTATTCAAAATAAGTTCTTGTCACAAGGATTACATATGTGAAGTATGAAAGCTCTAGCACCAACTGTTCAAAAGTAATGGCCAAGGTTAAAGTTTTCCAAAAGTAGGTCAAACTCCAAGGTCAATGGGCTATAATTGTTGGTATCTAAAGGAAGGTCTTGTCACAAGGATAACACATGTGAAGTATGAAAGCCTTAGCACCAACCGTTTAAAAGTTAGCCAAGGTTAAAGTTTTTCAAAAGTAGGTCAAACTTGTAGGTCAAGATCAAAGGGTCAAAGTTGTTGGTATCCACAGGAAGGTCTTGTCCAAAGGATTGCACATGTGAAATATGAAAACCCTAGCACAAACTGTTATAAAGTTATGGTCAAGGTTAAAGTTTTTCAAAATTAAGTCAAACTCTTAGGTCAAGATCAAAGGGTCAAACTTGTTTTTATCCAAAGGAAGGTCTTGTCATAAGGATTACATATGTGAAGTATGAAAGCCCCAGCACCAACCATTCAAACGTTATGGACATGGTTAAAGTTTTTCAAAATTAGGTCAGACTCCTAGGTTAAGGTCAAAGGGTGGTCTCTAAAGGAAGGTCTTGTCACAAGGATTACACATGTGAAGTATGAAAGCCCTAGCACTAACTGTTCAACAGTTAATATAGGGTAAAATTTTGTAAAACTGGGTCAAGCTAAAAGGTCAAGGTCAAAAGGTCAAATATGATGGTATCCAAAGAAAGGTCTTGTCACAAGGAATACACATGTGAAATATGAAAGCCATAGCTCCAACCAATCAAAAGTTATGAGCAATGTTAAAGTTTTTGCGGACAAACAGATAAACAGACAGACAGACAGCTAGATGGATGGACAGGGCAAAATCTATACACCCCCGAATTTTCAATATGGGGGCATAAAAAATAATGTCAAAGTAGGTGTACTGTTTTCTAACAGAAAATCTAGAACAGAATCTGTTACATTGATTTAGCTTAATTTATCAATTATTTGATTTTCTATTTTCAATCTCTCTGTTTTACACAGAGCCATTTACCCAGTACAGAGTACAAGTAAGGGCCATAACTGGTGGAGGAAAAGGAGAGTTCAGTGATGTCTATCCAGTGTACACAGATGTTGCTGGTAAAAATCAAGAGATAGCTTTTGTTCATCAATGAAAATTCTTATTGCTGTTCTTAGAATTGAGTTTTATAGGACATTTTCTCTTCATGATAAGATCCTTATGTGTTATACTTAAGCATCAAATGACATTTAGCAGTTCCCCACCCACTGGAGAAAGGTAACCACATTTGCTTTACTGTAGGAATAATTCGATATTTGTTTATATTTTATGAACGATTTTGTGTTTAGGTCCAAGCCCACCAGAAATAACCAACTTGACAGTGCTGGGATCCCGCAGTATCTATCTGTCATGGGAGGCTCCCAAACATTTCTATCGAACAATAGACCACTACTACATACAGATCATAGACACCTCTTCTCACCTCCAACAAAGAAGAGCTCTGGAAAATAATGAAAGAGAGGTTTGAAGAGCAGTATTTTCAGAAGTTGAAAATTAATTCGTATTTTTGCATTTTTATAGAGTGATCTAGTTTGTTCAACAAGATTCATCTAGCATTTATTTCTATGTCTAGTTGGATTTGTTCAAAATTATAATGGCTGGGTCATTATTACATGTACTTGTATATGGAAAATAGATTTATCACTTATTGATTTTCTTGTATATGGACTAATTCTGTACCTTTTCTTTAGAAATTGCATTAATTGCTATGTTAATTCATGTAATAAATTTAGTGATATCAGGTACTGAAATATTTTACAGACTATAGTCACTGGATTACCAACCAACACTGAGTACTCCCTAAAAATAGCCGGAGTGACTAAAAGTCTGCACTCCAACATGCACTACATTGGAGAGTTCTCTACACCCTGGACATTCAGTCTCTCAGGTGAGAAGATATATATCTCATTATTGTATAGACACATTTACACCTGTGTACCTGGCTATATAAAATCAAGAGACATTATATATGCATATTCATATAATCGTCCTCATAATGCATATTTATGCACACATTTACATTGATGTTAATTTACCCACATATAAGCCTGACATTATAAGCCTTAATTTATACATGTATTTTGCAACAGAACTGTTGAAATGATGTAACACAAGTAAAAAAAACAATTAATTTTTAAATACTGAATTTTTTTCCAATGGTGTAGCAAATTCAATTTTTTTAAATTGTGTGTGCTAGGAAATCTCATATTCTTATGAAACATGAAACGAAAATTTGGTTTTAAACAAACACACCAGTACAACTATTCATTCATTAAAATTCATCAGTTCATATTTTTTTAATCTAGAATTTGATGTGAGTTTTTTTTTCCCCCAGATTATTCTTGACATCTGGTCTTGCTTAATATGAAAATATGCATGCATTTTACTCATTGCTATAACATTTGTTAGACACTGTAAATGATCTTACAATACCTTTTTGTGCATTGGGTAAAAATCACAATATTTACAGTGGACCACTTCCCTTACTCCATCTTTTTTACATCAAGCAATTAGATTTCTTTACTTTTTGCAAATGAATTCAGGATGATGTATATATGAAATAACATCTAAAATCAACCAGGGACTTCAGCAATGTCATTCTATGTATAGCCTACATTACACTGTAACAGTCCACTTATAAAGACAATACTTGTGTTTTCTGTATAGAGCTTTCAGAGGATGGTGAGAAAATTATTTCATTCAGTTAAAAATTTATTTTCTTTGCATGATATCAATTAAATAACTTTTTTTATGTCTATATGTAATAATTTTGTTTTTATAATACATGTACATGTTAACTTAATATGTGGTGAAAATATGAATACGAGTAGCTTAGAAACACAGAACATATATTTCTTGTATGTTTGAATTCACAAGCATTATATCTATGTTTTGGGATTTTTGTGACAGTTCCATGAATATTCTCTCTTTTTGGAGGTAGTTTGTAGCAAAGGGAGATAAATCACTAATGGTATTTAAAAGCTGTTCTGAAATTTCCTGATCACACAATAAAAGACAGGGAGGAACTCTAGAGTAAATAATGTACCACTGAGAGTATCTCAGCAAGCTTTTAATCCCATCACTCAAAATGTATGGAATTTAACTGCAGAATAATGGATAGAAGTACTGATAATTAGTCACTGAATAGTATCCCTGTCTTTACGTATGGTTTTTACATTACAGCACATTGCACACACAGAGATAAATTTCAATATAATGAACTTTTCTAATGATGGTACTCAATTTTTATGTTAAAAAAGTTAGATTAAGTTAACATAAAAACAACAGAAAAATGTCAAGAATCTCTTTAACAGAATGTTAATATAACTTATGTTTACTGTACCAAGACTTAAAATAAGGGCTTTGTTTGACTGGGCATATATAATGTACAAAGTTATTATGGACACATATACAACATGAAGTTCAATTTAATTTTGTAATGGCAACTCATTTTTGTTAAATAAACATAACTTGGAAATGTAAATCATTCGAAAGATTTCCCCCTTACTATATAACTATGTACATTAAGTACATGTACATCAAAATATAAATACATACATAAAGTATTTTATTATATATATTAAACATACCTGTTTGCTTTTTTAACCCTAACATTTTTTTTTTAAATTTTATATTCATTTGTTGTATATACATGTATATAATATGTTATTAGAGTAACTTAACATTCTAGTGGAGGGATGGTAATGATTAAGGAACTTTTTGTTTGGGTTAACTTTGCTCAAACACTGCATTATGACTTAGGCATATATGTTAAGACTATGGTAAGTAAATATACATGTACATGTATCAATTAAAAAAGTAAACTTTTGACTTGCCAGCTTTGAAAAACTAGAATCATCATTTTTCTCACGTTAATAAAAACAAACAATACAATGTCATACAATTGTTGAAAAAAAGCAGCAGGTATGTACATGTATACATGTCTAAATATACTCTAGTTATGTTTAAATTGCCTTTATGCAGATATTCTCCTAAAAACTTAACTATAAAGTGTGAATTCAAGATATGTATGATTTATAGACAGTATATTAAGATAGGCATGTATTGTATCAATATTTTATGAAGATAAAACATTTATTTATGAAAAGTAGAAAATTTACCACTACAATTCTTCTAGTTTCTACTGCTGTAACAGATTGTATGATTTAATGCTGAAATGGAGATCTTCATGCTTAATCACATTGCCAGAAACAATTAATTCTCTATATAGCTTTAGTTAAATTAATATTTCAAAGTCATCATATTGAATATTCATTATGCAATATATATTAGTTAACTGACTGGTTGATTAAAACTGCCTAATATTCTGTGGTAATGTATTGTATGTACACATTACTGTGTCTCTTTGACAGTACCCCTCACCAATATGTCGAGGAGCATTTTACCCCTTGCTAACAGCACCATCACTTATGGGTACATGTATTATAACGAGCCAGGTGATCCACATTAATTCTTAGTCATATTTCTGTCTGGCTTTTTTTTTTATTTGGCCTGCTCTCTGTGTTAATTTCTGTGAAATTATTGAGATGCCATAGAATGTATAGTACTTACAAAATAATGAAGTTGAATTATATATATAACACATTTTCTTGATCAGCCAGATGTCGAGAGAAAGTAGTTCACTGATAATGGAAGTCTCAATTTATAGCATATTTAGCTGTTGTTGAGTATTTCTCGTCCATTTCATAAATCTTTCATTCAGAGCAATGAATATGCTTATTCTGTTATGTTGTGTTTATCTTTCTGTTTCATAAAAAAAATGTACTCACAAAATTCTAACAATGTCTGCAAATTGTCATGTAGACATTACATTATTCAAAATTTCAGTGTAATGCTCACACATTTAATCAAGCATTTTGCTTTTCATTTATTGAACAAAAAAGCTGTTCAAATCCAAATCAATAAGTCTGTACGAATTGAATAAATTTTATTGTAAGATAAGCTTATGAAACAATGATTTATTTTTACATAAAAGTATTCTACTTAAATAATACCAGCATATTATTTAATCTTATTATCGGCATGTAATGTTGTGAAACAACTGATTTTTTTAAGTCTGGTTTTGTTGCACAGTCATCATTTCATGTATGTGTATGATTCTAGTGTGTCATTTATAGCTTGATCTTCATTAAGCTTATTTTGCTGGGTTCCTATCCTTTGATTTCATTACTTACTCTACATATTATACATGAACTTTTTACCAACAACTAGGGACAGTAGGGTTTTTTTTCTGTGGGTGTTTATGGCACATCTTATTTCCGTACTTGTCAAACTCATATATTTTTATCTGGTTAATTCATAGCGTAATATTTTGAGGAGTGCCTCATAACAACATTAAAATATCAAGTAAGAACAAAGCTTTACTGTGCATTACATACATGTACAAAAAATATGACATTTCTCATCAGCCAAATTCAGAGATTTTTCAAACCTCAAATAAAAGTAGTTTAAGAAAAAGAAAACTGTGTCTAAAAAATAGATAAAAAATTCAAAGTATGTGCTTTGTTCAGTGACATCTTTATTTTTATGGTTTGGGGACCTCATTTGCTATGCCATCATAAAGGATATATTCTTATCTATCATGTCATTAACATTCAACTACATGTATTTTCAGCTTATCTACCTCAAAGCTTTGCTTCAAAAAATATATGTCATTATGCATGTATTACATATATCCATTAGCACTTCATCTCATTGGTATTAACAACACATCTGTATGTATGTATATATCATTGGTTTACATTTACTAACATGTATTTTCAGAAATGAAAGAAGTGCAGAAATATTCACCAGGAAATCATTCCATTGTCAATTTTACTTCTTTTCCCACTCGCCCACCACCTGAAAATCAAGAACCCATTATGGAAGGTGATTGAGCAGAAATGTGTAAAATGAATGTTTTGATCCATAGTGCTCTTTGTTGTTCGTAGGATACCCCTTTCCTTCAGTTAATTCTTTATTCTGTTATGTTTTCGCATGCAGACTTTATAAATAGCATGTAAACACCATTTTGTTACTAAAAAAAACATTTGGATACATTTCTGAAATGTTTTACCATGTGAAGGATGACCAAAGTTACATGTATTTGTTAAAAATTATATGTCTTTGAAATTTTCATTTCAGCCAAGGTACATTTTATCAGTGTAAAATTACGTCATATTTAAGGAAAAAAGTTACTTCCCCTCTTGCACCTTCTCTTTCTAAGTTTTTTCCCTTTTCCTTTTTTTTTAATAGAAGCTTTATGTTCAGTTCTACCATCTTGTAATATTTGACTTTCATGCTCACTTGTAACTGCACACAGCCTGAATGCTCTCATCATTTAGTTTCATTTTCTATATCACATTATCACTTTCCTTTAGTCTCCCATGTATATTTACATGTATTTAGTGAACATGTGATCATAAAAACTGCACAAAGCATGTTGTATGGTTATTGTAGAATTGAGTATATTTCAGATAGCAGTATATCCAAAGGGTTGAAGTTTATGTACCGGTAGTAATGATTTTACTACAAAGTTGAATAATTGTAATAAAAAACATTTGGGTGTGCCCATTAATCCAGATATTTAAGGACAAGTATTTTCAAGAAAGTCCACAAGTTTAATCATTATAGGCTTGTGAATGAACAGAGTTTTGGAAGAAAAGATTTAAAACTTCTTCATCTGAAGCATTAGGTGGCATTGAATTGCTGTTGATATGTTATAATTGCTACTTTTCAGACCCTACAGCAGTGAGCCAGGCGGATGCTGAAGTGGTGAATGCTGGGATAGTAGCAGGGGTTGTCTGTACGATCATCTTCATACTACTCGCAGTGCTAGGCTTTATTGGATGCAGGTAAACTAAGAAAAATAATGCTTTTCTTTTAGGTTAATAGAGTGGTACAAAAGAGATAACTAAAAAATAACTTTTGAAAATTATTTTATCTCTCTCATTTCAGGTCTCTGACCTGTCGTAAGTACTATCAGGCTGCCTACAATTATCTGGCTGTTCCAACAAATAACAACTCTCCCCCCTCAACAGTCATTGTAGTGCCTGATCAAGCAGGTATTGTACATCAAAATGTTAACTATCAGTCAGAAATCTATTCGGGTCCTTACAGAGATCATAATTCTTATACAATTGAAAGAATTAGTCATTTGTTCGAAAAGAAATGGTTTTATTTGTTGAATAAGTATGATTATGAAATGAAGTGAAGAGTTATATTGTACATTTCTTTGATATGTACATATTTTATCTTATGATAGATGAAAAATCTTTCAATGCCCTAAAAGAAGACATAGAATTGAAATTCCCCACGGTGAGGAAGGAGAACTTTCTGCAGCATGTCCAGTCCCTGCATGCTGACAGTGATGTAGGGTTTTCACATGAGTTTGAGGTGAGTTTTATCACAGGTAATTTCAATGTGGATTTAAAGATGAAAGTTTTTGTCCACACAAATCAGGGTCTTTGTAGAGTTTTTCCAGTAAAAACTGTAGGTGCCAGTTGGCATGAAGAGATGATACTATATTTGAAATATGTTGTGTGTTGCAGTGTAAGAAAGGCAGAGTAGAACAATGAGGTGTTTTGTGTACTGTGAAAGCATAAATAAATAAATTTCAGTTATTTTACTTCACTTATTTTGTTGTTAACAATTAACAATGAAATTAAATCCAACATGAAATTTTTATATGACTATATATTGAACAGGATTACTTTCGAAACAACGAAATTTTATGCCCACAAAACCTTTTTAGATGACAAATCTATGAAATTTTATCCAAACGAAAATTTGTGCTTCTACAGTGTATGTACATGTATGTATGTTCAATCATGTACAGTATATAAATGATAAGTCACTTCAATCTATTTTTGACAGGAAATTAATAAGCTGACATCAATCACACCCAAGGCAGATGTTGGAGCTCACCCTGAAAACAAACAGAAAAACAGATACGTCAACATTCAGGCCTGTAAGACAAAATATTGTCTACTGCTATAAAATAAACAAGATCGTGATAAGTGTATGCTCAGAAAACTTATCTCTCTCTCCCAAATATTAATTCAATTGATTATAATTGCATTTTTACAGATGACCATTCTAGAGTTGTACTTCAGAAATCCATGCAAGTTCGACAGAGACAGTCGGACTTCATTAATGCCAACTATATTGATGTAAGTCTGTGTCCAAAATTATTAAGACAAGGATTATTTATTTCAATGAGATTCCAGATTAGAATTGAAAAAAAAGTATTCTCAGCAACTGAAATTTCATGTAAAACTTACATGGGTATTAGTACTATTTACTGATAGTTAATTGATTTGTTAATCAGGGATATAAGAAGCCCTGGGCTTACCTTACCATGCAATGCCCAATGCTGAATCATTTACTAATAGCTGATTGATTTGTTCATTAGGGTTATAAGAAGCCCAGGGCTTACATAGCCACACAAGGCCCGATGCCCAACACCTTTGCAGATTTCTGGCGAATGGTTTGGGAGCAGAACTCTGTTGTCATAGTAATGATCACAAAGCTGGTAGAAAGAACAAGGGTAAGATTTAAAGGGGCTTCATGTTGACTCTTGTAGTTTTATATAACCTACAGACAAAAAAGGGGGCTGCTTTGAAATGTGTTATACATTTTATTAAAGAACTGAAAATACTAGAAGACATGCAAAGCATATCACAAAATTATTGTGGTTCTTAACTGTATAGTGAATTGTATTTATTTTATCAAAATTTAAAACTCTTTGATGTCTTTCTCCATATTTTATTCTCAGATTGGCCATGAGATATGTTCTCAGATTGGCCATGAGATATGTTCTCAGATTGGCCATGAGATATGTTCTCAGATTAGCCATGAGATATGTAGATATAACTGTAGTCAATGTTTTTTTACAGAGAAAATGTGATCAATACTGGCCAGAGGATGGAATAGAGACGTACGGCTGTATACAAGTCAAACACGTCAACACCTTCTCTAGAGCTCATTATACTGTTAGAATATTCTCACTGAAAAACGTCAAGCTTAAAAAGGTAAGTCTGAAATAAGACAAAATTATATCACATGAACTTGTTTCATCTGTGAAAGATACTGGAAGCCATTGCAATATACATGTACATGACAAGAGAACAAATTGTAATACATGTATAAAGAAAAAAATCAGTTAGTGTTATACATGTACATATCAGATGAGTCAGTGACATATTGCACTTGTACATGTATGTCTGGAAAAATCTGAAACTTGATGTAATACAAAAATATAGAATGACATGCAGATTCTGTAAACAAATTTTGCTAATGCTTTTGCATAGTACAAATTAAATATTAGTTGAAGCCCGTTAGACAAGTCCCCTTTGAATACCCCTGAGTTGTAAAAAAGTTTAAAATATTTTTTAATTTTAATCCCTGTTCTATTATTTTTAGCAATTTTCCGAGAGAATAGTTCACCAGTTCCATTATACAGAATGGCCAGACCATGGAGTGCCAGATTTTACACTCCCTGTTTTAAAATTTGTACAGAAATCTGCAGCCTTGAACCCTATAAAGGCTGGCCCCATAGTGGTCCACTGCAGGTAAAAATACTGAGATTCATATGCTTTTTGACAAAGAGATGCCATTTCTGATGTATTGTTACAGTCCCTGAAACATTCTACTTTCCCACTTGAACGGTGAGCGAACGCTGAACGAACGGTGAACGAACGCTGAACGAACGCAGAGCGAACGGTGAGTGAACGATGTGTGAACGCTGAACGCAACTTGGTGAACGATGTGTGAACGGTGAGCGAACGCAGAACACGAACGGAGCGCAAAAGCGACCGCAAAGTGAACGGTGAACGAACAGTAAACGCAAGATGAACGATTTATTCGGAATGCCTCTGATCTTTTCCTTGCATTGAAACTATTCTATTGTATTCCAATGTCTGGTGCTAAAAAAATTATAAATAATAAATAAATAAACAAATCAATGAAAATTATCCTAAGAAAGACGATACATGCACATTAAGTAAAATTATTTATTTAAGTTTCTTACATTTTTTTCTGAACATATGTACGATGTTTAAATTCAACTTTTTGATAACACGATTTTTATCGCAGCTGTAAAACATTGTAATTGTTACCGAACGCTGTAGTATAACAGATGAAATTAATCTAGTTGTAAAATAAATTTGTTTATTCTTATTTGATATATAAAACCATTACAAATAATGTGGATTTTAGAAGAGAAAACTACGGACTTATAGAATGAATTACAACGGTTGTAACAACCATACAAGGCGATTCCGTGTAAAATAATGAGAAAAAAAAATATTTTACAAAGGTATATGGACGTATTGCATAAATACACTTGTATTTTTTAAATTTTAATGAAATAATATATTTATGTGTCAGTTTTCTTTTTTATGATGATTTATTGAGCAGACTACTACATGTATCTGTAGACATTTCCCGGCCGTGATTATATTCGGACAAGATGATACAAAAAGACAATCATATTATTTGTTATATATTAAATTTTCGCAACTTGATATTTAAGTAATATGCTGTCATAGTTTTTATTAAACAGACAATTGAGAGAGAGAGAGAGAGAGAGATTCGGTTTTATCCCCCCTCCCTTCCTCAAATGTTTGTACCTATATCAAACAAAAATTCTAAATTTTTTATTTTTTCTAAATATATCAGGCAGTGAAAGTAACCATTTTTTTTTTTTATCAACAAATCCATTTGTTTTACAGTCACAATAGGTTTTTATTTTCCTGCTTCAAGTTCACACGAAGTCCACATGCTTGACCTGTCAATCAAAATCATTCGACACTGTGCAGGCACACCGAAGGCAAAGTGTTAGTATTTCCAAGAGGTTTTAACATTTTTTCTTATCATTTCTAGATCTGATTCCAACATTTCTAAAAAAAATAAATAAATAAGTAAAATACATTGGGAATAAATACCGGTACTTGGAATAATTAAGCCGCTTGAATTTGAAACATACTCCATGCCAATTTAAAATATCACCGCCGACACGTGTATATTTTGAACTACTATTGTTTAATGACTTTGTTTAGATGCATGTTTGTTTTGAGACTGAAATTTTTGTGCTACAAAACACATTAACTTCTTTTTAAATGTTAATTAAAATATACTGGAAATATTTACTTAGTAACCGATTTAGGGGAAATGTGGGGGGGGGGGGGGAAGGGGGGGCTCTTAATAATATCGAATGACAAACATATAAAGTTACGGTGAAAAATATCATTAATGGAGAATCACATTGGTTATATAAATGATAATCATGTTATAAAGGCATTTCTCTTTCTCTAATTAAAGACTTTATATAGGTAAAGTAGAAAAAAATCTTTAATGGATTACATTTTAAAAGAAATATTTTATTATACCACACTATCAATTTAATTCGCTCTAAAGATATTTAATTAACTGGATACCCGCAGTACTGTTTATCATTCTCAGAACAAGTTCTAACGTATTTCTGTATTATTTGAAAAAAAATGTGATAGAAATATTTTCGTATTTTTGCTGCAGTTGGTAAATTAATTGACTTTGATTATTATCTATCCATTAACGATTTGTCGTCTTTAACATAACAACAAAATGTTGCAGTGCTTAAATTTTTCAGCATCGTTCTACATAGGTACATACATGTACTTATAACAACATGTATTTTCCAAATAAATTTTTAATAAATAACCTAACAGCTAAGTTAGAATAAAAATAAATATTTTTTTCCCCATGAAATAATGATTTTTTAAACACGGTATGTTATTTATTAAATTCAAAACCCGTAAATCCTTACTTAAAAGAAGATGAGTCCTTTCACTTCAGAGTTCCGAATGACACTGAAGACTGAACGATAAGTGAACGCTGAACGCAGGGTGAACGCAAAGTGAACGAACGAAGAGCGAACGGTGAACGCTTTGTGAACGCTGAAGGCAAAACTGTGAACAGAGAGCGAACGGTGAACGCACGCTGAACGAACGGTGAACGCACGCTGAACGAACGGTGAGCGAATGGAAAAATGGGAAAGTAGAACGTTTCAGGAACTGTAGATGGCAATGTAATGAACTGCAACTTGTAGAATTGCAGAAAATTTGTTCTAAATAATGCAAGTCACTTTTGATTTATTAGTATTTTCCCCTATTTTCAGTCTTTAAAACTTGTGTTTATATCCATATTTCTGTGTATTAGTTTACAAGTTTTCATATTTACATACATCTTTATTGCTTTTCAATTTTTACAATACATCTATTAGTATTCATATTTACAAGTACAGTGTAAGTTTTTATATAACATACTGTTCATGTAAATGTATTAGTATTCATAGTTACATGTATTGCAATTCATATTTACATGTATATCTATATATTACTATTCATAGTTATTAGATGTATTAATATTCATATTGATTCTCTTTTTTCGCCAGTGCTGGTGTAGGGAGAACTGGAACCTATATTTTAATTGACAGCATGATTGAACAAATCAAAGACCTTGGCACAATTAATATACCTGCCTTCTTATTAAAAATCCGGCAACAGAGGAACTTCCTTGTGCAGACAGAGGTAAGTTCCAGTAATTGCTACTCAAATTCTATTTCCCTTACATATAATACTGAAAGGTTTATATTTGAATGTGTAATATTATATGATATTTTGAATTTAATTTTTTTGTCACTAAACATAGTAACAAGATACAGTATGAATTTATCAACTGCATTTAAAAATTTATTTGATTTTAAATCTGTTATTAGAATGTTCCACACCCTGCAGGATTTAGAAATAAAAATGTTGAAAACTAAAGTACAATTAATATTGACAGGATCAGTACATGCTGATTCATGATGCTCTAGTGGAGTACCTCCTCTGTCCTACCACAGAAATCAAACAATCCGACGTAAAAGTCTATACAGAGAAGCTGGCAGAAACTCCACTGGACATAATGCCCTCATTGCTACAAAATATATTCCTTGTAAGTAAATACACACTTATACTATTTGGTAGTAGTGATTTGTAAGGATAGAAAACTGATAAATTCAAAGTACATGTTGCAGGGGTGGTTTATACTAGATGTATAAAATAACTCAACTCCTGACTAAGGGTTCATTACTGTGTTTATTACTGATGTTTATGGAAGTCAATATAAACAAAAACGGTCCTATAAAATAAAATAATAACAATGAATATCACATGAGATAACAAATGTATACAAAATATATTACTTATTCTGATTGATGTACAATAGATTTAACAGTTAAGAGTTATCTCCCTTACTTTGAATATTCAGCATATACATAAATCACTGTACAAATATTCTTTACACAGATATTTTACTGCCACATTTCAATAAATGTAACAATATATAATTATAACTTAAAATATACAAAAGGTAACATATATTCAAATTACCTCTCTATGGGACAAGGCCCATTCCATAATACATAGTAAATAGCCTGGATCCTTCATACAGGTCTACATATCTAATTAAACAAATACTGTACACTGTACTATACATACTATAATACTCATAATTCAAATAAATTTATACTCTGAGGTAAATTGCTTTAAATTTAGTTTTATTCATATTTAAACTTTCACTCTTCTTTCAAACAGTGATATTAGCTAAATAGACATATTATAAAGATATAGAATGATAAACTTTATACTTACTGTCAGGTCTGGTCTAAAGGTCTCAAAGTCTTTGTCTAGAAAATCTCTTGTTACAAAACCACAACTATCCTGACCAAATTCTCTGAGTAGTCTATCTGAGAACAACTCAGAACCACCAAAACTTACAACCAATAAAATTACAGAACCCTAATGTCATAACCTTTAAACTCTATCGCTCACCAAGTAAATAAAGGGGTGGATCTGGGATTTGTATTAAATCATAAAATCTTATTTAATTTCATTTATATCAATAATATTTATTCAAATATTATGTGATATACATTATATATATAGTTAAAACACACTGCTACATACATAAAACACAAAATACATAAACAGTGAGATATGTTTATAACAAAGTAGCGGGGATGGGTGATTTTGCTTCCTGATAAATGTAATTCATTATATCCGTTAAGTTCACAATATATTTTAAAGACATGAGGGAATGAAAATCACTTTCCTGTGAGCATCAGTTTATTATAAGTGTGTTGGCTGTAAGCATATTGTACTTTAGTTGTGTTTAAAAAGTCAAAAAGGATAATAAAAAGTTTTCAACATGACTTTCTCCTACTTTCTTAGTTTAGTCTTCATTCTCAGTATGTTTTAAAGAGAGTCAGATTGATTGTATCAGATTTTACTGCCCACTAAGTTTATAAACTAATTTGACAGATTGTCACAGCCTACAAACCCAAAGACTCTGACAAGTCTCTAGCTCTGGCCCCTTTGGCCCTGGAGAAAAACAGGAATGCCAACTTCATTCCTCTCTACCCTAAACGGGTGAAGTTACCTTTCCTGCCCGGTGTGGAGGGATCAGACTACATTAACGCAACATATTTACAGGTAAGTTGTTAGTGACTATACAGGTTGTATTTGCATGTATCCTTATCTTCAACATTAAACATGTAGCTCAGACTGATTGGATTACTAAATGTTTAAAATAAGATGTAAGTTAAAAAAAAAATAAAAATTTTTTTAAGATATACATTTTTTTTTTTCAATTCTGAAGGAAGCTACCCTTTTATGCACTCATGAATCACTTTGCTTTGTCAAAACTAAAAAAAACAACAACAAACAAACAAACAAAACAAAAACTACATGTGCATGTATTTTACAGGGTTATAACCACACAGATGAGTTTATTTTGACTCAGCACCCTCTGGAGTCGACAGTGGGGGATTTCTGGAGGATGGTATGGGACAACAACAGCTCCGTCATAGTCCTTCTCTCCAGGGTCAATGAAGAGGTAAAGGAGGGGGAATTCTATAGAGTTATTTAATGTATAAATGGAAAAAAGAGAATTATCTTGAAAAGGGGAGAGAGATTCTCTAGAGAAAAGACTTTGGATATTTAACAGAAAAGAAGGGATCTTAGAGATTCATAGAATTAACAGCAGGGGAAGATTCAAAGAAAAATTTGAATCAATATTGGAAAGGAAATATCTTAAAGGGGAGTTGATTCTCAAAGGGGAAAAATCAAGGGGAAAAAGTGGGATCTCATGGAAATGAAGAATAATATTTTGTAAAATTGGAATGATGAAAACAGATTGGCTCAGATAAGAGTCCTGTAGTAAAGAAGATAAATTATCAGTGAGGAATTAGTATGGTATAGAGTCCTGCAGTAGACAAGATAAATTATCAGTGCAGAGTTAGTAAGATATAGAGTTCTGTAGTAGACAAGATAAAATATAAGTGCAGAATTACTAAGTCATAGAGTGCAAGCGGGTAGGGAGAGTATGTAATTTACAATCAATGATACTGAATCTTTGAAAATCAGAACTTTAACTACAGCTGTATTTAGGCAAAAAAAAAATTAATGAATAGTTTCTCAGGCACGGCCGCATCAGGTCAAAAACTGCCGCATTGATTAATTTTATTGACATTTTGAAAAGGGAAATAAATTAATTTCTATTTTTCCAAGTTGAAAAAGAAAATTGAGTTTTTTCCCTTTTCATAACAATTAATAGAAAGACGTTTTTATTAGATATTACAATATTCTTCTAGTCTATACAGTCCTTTATTAATTGACTTTATAACAAATGTTTGGAATAACATTATTTATTTATTTAAAGTTGACCAAATTATGATAGTATATCAAGAGGACAAAAAAAAAAAGAATCAGTCAATATCGTCATTTTGTTGAACAACTGATATGAAAAAAAGATACCTGCTTCAAAAAAAAAAACAAAAAAATGCCTGCCGCATTGAATTTCGAATTTTTGGCCTGCGAAGCTATTAATTTTTTTGGGCCTTAGTGTCCCATCAATACACAAGTTTAGAGATTATTTCCCTTGGTGTGCTCTTTTGTTACCGGGGGGGGGGGGGGGGGGGGGTTCCAGGTAAACAGGCAGGTGGGACATTTATATTCTTTAATATGCTGGTCTATCATAACTGATTGTCGGGATTCTCTCTTCAACTCGAAAATTATCAAATTTATGTTAAGGTGTCAAATTTTTTTGTACCAAGAAAAAGAAAATGGAACCGAGGAAAATATCAGTGCATAAGACTTTTCAGATGAGGAAATAGATCTATGGATCTCTAATAATATACATGCATCTTATCGGCATTTTGAATGACACACCAACTCTTTCCATTATTATAATTTCAAAGAGCCCATAAACTTTTTAGATAAGGTTTGTACAATCAAGGAAGCATTGTTTTCACCAAGACTTTGACTGTTCTTTTGTTTTCAAATATCCTAATTGAAAGTAAATTTTGTAAAACATGTATAGTAGAGCTAAAAAAAAAATCATCACTGCTTGAGATTTCGTCTTTCTATAACATTAAATGAATTTTAAAGCCTTAGACATCGTTTCGTTTATTAATGCATGTTTTTGTACATCAACAACCTGTTCCACTTCAATGCCGATATGGACACTTTTTGCACCTCTGTCGTTGGAGAGTTACAATCTCGAAACTTGCATATTGAGAAAACCTATTAGTGTCAAGATGTGATAAAAGCTTTGCTCTGCTTTTAGGAATTCAAGAAGTTTTGGCCAGATGAAACAGACATGGTAGGAATGGATACTGCCAACTTCAAACTGGTTTATCAAGAGTCTGAGGAAGGCAGTAACTACACTGTCCTCACATTTCTACTGGAATCTACACAGGTAGGTCAAGGTCAATAAAATCTTCAACTTTACATCTTATTGATCTATAACCTAGAATAATCAATTTAAAAGCATTGTCAACATAAGCTACTATTTATACATGCATATGAGTCAGTAACTTCTGAAAGAGAAGTAATGATTTAAAATAGGTAGCATATTATGATTGGTTGGAATATTAAAGGTTGTTCTTACTATTTATTTATGTTTAACAGAGCTGTAGCTGGGTATGACATCAGATTTCATCTTACATTTTACTTGCAGCTAAAGTTCCAATACACATTTTTGTTTTGATATCGGTCTTTGCTGTGCATCTGCAGTGATATATATTGCATTTATTTTTGGTGGATGATGCAGATTTTTTTCTTTAATAATTACATTTTTCAACCAAAGCTAGAAATTGCAACAGAACTACTTTTAAAATTTTAAGCTTATTTTGGGGAATCTAAGAGACAAGCTTCTTTTGGAATGTATTTAAACTGACTTTTTCTTCACATGTACAACTATAAATTCCCCCTCCCTCCCCACCCCCACCCCCCAAAAAAAAGAATTTAAAAAAAAATTGCTTTATATTTTCATTTAAAGAAAATGGAAAATTTGCATGGCACATCAGTTTACATATTATACAGAAAAAAATGAGCAATGTCAATGAGATTCACATTAAGAACCCTCTCTACACTGCATACTAAAGAGTTCTGATTCTATGGTATTTTTCAGCAGTTAGAGTGATCTGCCCTTAGATCTAAATTCCAATAAATAGAAATTTACAGTATAGTACCCAATTTGTAATCAATTCAAGTACCGGTATTCTTAACATTTTAAAATGCCAAGATAAATTAATTGAACATGTTATTCACTTGTATTTTCTCTGTGGAAGTAAACAGCAGTGATTTCTGTTCACTGATACTGTGTTGTGTTTAAACATTTTTACTGGGGGTAAATACCACGTACCATATATTGAAAATTTAATAAATAAGCTCAATATTTATACCTTTATTCAAAATGATTTTCTCAATGTCCAAAAAACATGTTGCACTGGTGTAGAGAGGGTCCTTAAGGAAGAAGGCAAACTGGACCGAAATACGAGGAGAGCATAGATGTACATGTATATATAGTCGAACTTCAGTTTCTCGAACACTGATATCTCGAATACCATGGATATGTGTAAGTGATTTGAAAGTCCCAACCCCTTATTCTTTAAGTACTCTACCCTGGATATTTAAAATCCTTGGATAACTCAAAGTTTTTTAGCTCACCTGAGCGGAAGGCTCAAGTGAGCTTTTCTGATCACTTTTTGTCCGGCGTCCGTCTGTCTGTAAACTTTTAACATTTTCGACTTCTTCTCAAGAACCACTGGGCCAATTTCAACCAAACTTGCCACAAAGTATCCTTGGGTGAAGGGGATTCAAGTTTGTTCAAATGAAGGGCCATGCCCTCTTTTAAGGGGAGATAATAAAGAATTGTTGAAAAATTAATAGCATCTTTTAAAAATCTTCTCAAGAACCACAGTGCCAGGAAAGATGAATCTCATGTGGAAGCATCCTCAGGTAGTGTAGATTCAAGTTTGTTCAAATCATGACCCCCGGGGGTAGGGCGGGGCCACAATGGAGGATCAAAGTTTTTACATAGAAATATATAGGAAAAACCTTTAAAAATCTTCTTCTCAGGAACAGCAAAGCCATGATGAGTCATATTTATATGGAAGCATCCTCAGGTAGTGTAGATTCAAGTTTGTTCAAACCATGATCCCTGGGGGTAGGGCGGGGCCACAATGGAGGATCAAAGTTTTACATAGAAATATATAGGAAAAATCTTAAAAAATCTTCTTCTCAAGAACAGCAAAGCCATGATGAGTCAAGTTTATATGGAAGCATCCTCAGATAGTGTAGATTCAAGTTTGTTCAAATCATGACCCCCGGGGGTAGGGCGGGGCCACAATGGAGGATCAAAGTTTTACATAGAAATATATAGGAAAAATTTTAAAAATCTTCTTCTCAGGAACAGCAAAGCCCTGATTGATCATATTTATGTGGAAGCATCCTCAGGTAGTGTAGATTCTATTTTGTTCAAATCATGACCCCTGGGGGTAGGGTGGGGCCACAATGGAGGATCAAAATCTTAAATAGAAATATTTAGGAAAATATCTACTCCTGAAAAACTGCAAAGCCATGATTAGTCATTTTGATATGAAAGCATCCTCAGGTAGTGTAGATTCAAGTTTAATAAAATGATGACCCCCGGGGATAGGGTCAGGCCACAATGGGGGATCAAAAATTTTACATAGGAACATATAGGAAAATATCTTCTTCTCAAGAACTGAAAATCGAGTTTAGTCATTTTGTTATGAAAACATCCTCAGGTAGTGTAAATTCAATTTTGTTCAAATGATGACACCCGGGAGTAGGGTGGGGCATAGTGGGGGGTTGAAAGTTTTACATAAGAACATATAGAAAAAATATTTCTTCTCAAGAACAGAAAAGCTATGTTTGGTCATATTGATATGAAAGCATATCCCCCCCCCCCCCCCTCCCCGGTAATCTTTTTAATACTTAACTGATTTGTGCTTTTGCCTAGCCAATGTGCTCAGGTGAGCGATGTGGCCCATGGGCCTCTTGTTCTTGGTCCTATTTAGTTCGAGATAAGGAGGTTTGACTGTATATTGTAAAATGTTGAGAAATTCTGGATAACATGTTATAACAATGTCAAGAAGACAATGCCGTCTCAAAGTCAAAACTTAATGTATGGAAATACAGTCCTATTTATATATTTAATATGTACAAGTATATCTGTAGGTCATTCGATTTAGGTTCACAGATCTATGAACCAAGACAGATTATCACAGGAAATCACTCTGATGATCTTGATTTGGTTATAGATTAATGCAACTTTCCTTACTTAGGGAATGACTTAAACAAAATGTACACTCTTTCAATTTTTATGGCTCCATAATAGGAGATAGGTTTTGGTCTGTCTGTCTGTCTGTCTGCAAGCTTGTCTGTTAAGCTGTCTGCAAAAACATTAATTATGCCCTTAACTTTTGAATGGTTAGTGCTAGGGCTTTCATATTTCACTTAATGTATTCCTTGTGACTTTGGTACCAATATTTTTGACCTCAGGATGTTGACCATGGAGTTTGACCTACTCTTGAAAACCCTTAACCTTTGCCCTATTATCTAAATGGTTTGTGCTAGGTATTTTGTATTCACATGTGTATTCCTTGTGAAAACACCCTTCTTTGGGTACCAATTGAAAATTTTTTGAACTTTTGACATTGACTTTGAAGTTTGACAAACATGAAACTTTAACCTTGGACTTGAGCTGCCATATGGGGGTCTCAGTGTTTTACAAACACATCTTGTTTGTTTCAAGTGATTTACAAATGCTGTACTTAAGAATAGGTTAAAGTGAAAGAAATTCACCCATTTTTGCTGCCACTGCAGATTTTTTCCATGTACCTAGGTTTTGTTTTAAACATATATATTTATAGGATAAATATTTCTTTAATAATGCTTGATGGGAGATGGTTTTAATATGGCTCTAGTTTTTGTGTGTGATTGAAGTTATTTTGCTCTCTTAAACTTAAAATTTGAATGGGTCTTTATTCATAAAAGAAGTTACTTCAGTCTCAAATTTTTAAAATTGAACTACACAGTTCTGTACATCATCGGTCTTGCTGGTAATAATAAATAAAATTACATGTTCAAATGCTTGTTACCATTTTGTATCATGAAAATATACAGTCATGTACATTTCTAGGTATTTCAAAGATTATATACCAGTATACATACATAGAAATATGTACATGTTGTTTTGATCTATCCAGGATGACTATGTGCTGATGACCCGCATCATCTACTGTCCTGATTGGCCCCCAGCTGACCTTCCAGAACACAAAGCATTTGATCTTGTTGAAAGGGTCAAAGAACTGCAGGCCCTGAAGGATGGAGGACCAATCATTGTAGTGGACAGGTGAATAAGAAAGATTAATTTTCTCTGCTATACCTCATTATGCTCTTGATATTGAAATGATTTAAAAGTGAATGCATCTGCTCTTGATTTTTAAAAAATTAATTTATTAATTATTTTTACCAAGTATCGATTTGAATTTTGTTGGGATTGCCAGGTTTGGTGGTGTAGAAGGAGCTCGATTCTGTATCCTCTCCTCGCTGTTAGACCAGCTGAATCATGATAAGACAATCGATGTGTACCATCTCTGTAAACTTTACCACAAGAAGAGACCGGGCATCATTGGGAGTCCCGAGGATTACCTGTACATATTCCTTGCCATGAACAGCTTCATTCAAGAACAGTATGATAAAGAGGCTGCCTCTCTTTCACATCACCTACATTTACGATCTTCCTCTGCCAAGAAAAATGGCACTTTGCCACGTAGCCCTACGCTTCAGGCTAAAGTTGAGACTACAATCTGAGAGCTGTCCAATAAAAATGTTTAAATCTAGTTATATGGTGATTAAAAAAAACCCACATGAAAAAGAAAATCCTTGAGCTTGCTGATATTGTATGTTGTAAATTTAGTTCATATACCAAACATGTCAGAAAAAACAATTCATGAAATCTTTGTCATTTTAATGATGCTTCTGTAGAAACTACCATTTATGCGTATTTTCTAATATCCAAGTATTGGAAAGCTACATTCATCCATGTTTGAATTATTAAAGTGCCAATGTCATCTATTGTGAGTTTCCACTCTGTGTATGTGTGGCAAGGAACCAATGGAAAACTCCAATGAAAACCGAAAAAATATTGTTTACAGATTGAGTGTCGGTATTTATTGTGACTACTACGAAATGTATGTTGTGATATACAAACAATGAATCTAAGTTTTCTAAGGACATGAAGGAAACAGACCCTTCTTTTTGGCCAGGTGATGGCCAAGTGCTGGACAGATTCAGATGTTTTATCTATTTAAAAACAAAAGGTTGTGTGAATAAAATGCCATTATCAACTGTTGTAAAACATGTTACACAATGAAGACTTGATTGTTGTGATGTTTACTAATGTTTTTTTTTGTTTATTTGTGTATACATGGTGATATACTGCCATTTCAGTCTGGAAAGTGATTGTTATTTTACTTAATCTAAAAGGAAAGGTTTCAGACACAAGCAAGGTACTGGAGTTTCCACATTGTAGTAAGACCTTAAGGAATGTCTTGTTTTGTAGCATACCCACCAATAAAAAATATCTCGATGTACCTACTCATTTAGCCTCAGGTAATCTCATTTAGGACTATAAAGTATATCCAATCATGAAATTTAAGGGGGATGGGTTTTTTTAGCAAGGCTATTGCTTAAAAATTTGATAAAAAGCTGGAGTTGTATCTTTTTTTTAGTTGAGAATTGTAAAATGTTGGTTAAAGCCATCAATTATTTATCATCTGCTGACCCTGTATGGACCAGAGCTTGTATACAGTATACCGCCCTCTGTATCCCCCCCCCATCCCCCCCCCCCCCCAATATGAACCAGAGTTTGTATACAGTATACCGCCTTCTGTATCCCTATGTTCTGCCAGTAACGTATATTGTGTGATGGTGTTATCTTTGGAATTTATGCTTTGTGCCGCCATTGTGTTCTGAAGTATGTAGTGTATAAATTGCTCCAGCATCTAGTCTGTGTAAATATGAAAGTCCAACCTGTTAAAAAATTTAAATGAATTCAATGTATAAAAGAACTTTTATAGAAATTGTTTCTTAATTTTGACTGCTCTTGGATAATCTTTCTTCAAATTTAGAAATTGTTTTAAATCACAGGTAGCAGTGCTCAAATCACATTTCCAGATGTTCTCTCTTACACCAAAAAAAAAAAAACAATCTAACACCAATATTAACACATGTTTTTATGAACTTAAGCTTGAATTTTGTTTTTTAAATCATGATTTAATTGATTTGAATTGTTTATCAGCTGTTCAGAATTTCTGAAAGGTTGTGGCGTGCCAAAAATAGCTAGATCTCGTAGTAAGGCTTTTTGTCTGTTTTATTTTATAGCTATTGTGTAGAGCTGTGTTGTAGAGTTTTATATTGCAAAAGCTGAGTTGTATTTACACTAACTTTTTTATATATTAATTAAATGTACCATGTTTATGAAAATTCTTAAAAGTTGCTTCAAGTTTTAGTAGTAAAGGGATGTATATTCATTGAAATATGTGTACATGTATTGAATTGTATGTAAGGTAAAAATATGCATTAAATTGAAATGTTATCTCAAGGTTCTTTGAAATTTATTACTGGTTCAAACAGAAATAGCGCATTACATGATTTAAAATATACTCGACACCAAGGTTGTGTTTTTTACACTAGCTCTACATGTACACTATTCATAATTTACATTACATTCATTTTGTATGAAAAAAAGTCATTTCTTGAAAAATGTACAGTTTATTTTATTATTCAGTAGGGATTTTTTTTTTTTTTTGATTTTTAGCTCACCTCGACGAAGTCGAGATGAGCTTATGCTATACCCCCGGCGTCGGCGTCGGCGTTAGCGTCGGCGTCCCAGGTTAAAGTTTTAGGAGCAAGTCCCATTCCCAAGTAACTATAAGCCCTACCTGGACCAAACTTGCATGGATGATGCACCAAGGGATGGACACTACCAAACTTGCTTCGGATGCTGGATCTGACCTAGATTTTCCGGATGAGTGACCAGGTTAAAGTTTTAGGAGCAGGTCCATTCCCAAGTAACTATAAGCCCTACCTGGATCAAACTTGCATAGATGATGCATCTAGGGATGGACACTACCACACTTACTTCGGATGCTGGATCTGACCTAGATTTTCCGGATGAGTGACCAGGTTAAAGTTTTAGGAGCAGGTCCATTCCCAAGTAACTATAAGCCCTACCTGGACCAAACTTGCATGGATGATGCATCTAGGGATGGACACTACCACACTTGCTTCGGATGCTGGATCTGACCTAGATTTTCCGGATGAGTGACCAGGTTAAAGTTTTAGGAGCAGGTCCATTCCCAAGTAACTATAAGCCCTACCTTGACCAAACTTGCATGGATGATGCATCTAGGGATGGACACTACCACACTTGCTTCGGATGCTGGATCTGACCTAGATTTTCCGGATGAGTGACCAGGTTAAAGTTTTAGGAGCAGGTCCATTCCCAAGAAACTATAAGCCCTACCTTGACCAAACTTGCATGGATGATGCATCTAGGGATGGACATGGCCACACTTACTTCAGATGCTGGATCTGACCTAGATTTTCCGGATGAGTGACCAGGTTAAAGTTTTAGGAGCAGGTCCATTCCCAAGTAACTATAAGCCCTACCTGGACCAAACTTGCATGGATGATGCATCCAGGGATGGACACTACCACACTTGCTTCGGATGCTGGATCTGACCTAGATTTTCCAGATGAGTGACCAGGTTAAATTTAAGGAGCAGGTCCATTCCCAAGTAACTATAAGCCCTACCCGGACCAAACTTGCATGGATGATGCATCCAGGGATGGACACTACCACACTTGCTTCGGATGCTGGATCTGACCTAGATTTTCCACATGAGTGAATTTTAGCCATATTTTAACCAAATTAGCATGGATGATGTATCTAGGGATGGACACTTCCAGACTTGCCTTGGATTCTGAATCTGACGTACATTTTCCAGATGAGTGACCAGGGTAATTTTTTTGGAGTAGCTATATAATATTATGGCCTGTTATGATTAAACTTGCATAGATGGTGCATCTAAGGATGAAAACTTCCAGACTTGGTTTGGATGTTGGAACTGACTAAAATTTTCTTGATTACTTAACAGGTCAAAAGTTTTTTGAGCAGGTCTATAATTAAATCAAACTTGCATGGACATTGATCTTGGGATGTACCCTAACTAGAAAAAAAATATGATGTGAAATTTGCCTTACATGTAGATAACATTCGCCGAGGTGAGCTTCGTAATCTTTGATTACCTATGTTTTGCTTCTGAAATATGTACATGTATGTGATGATGGCATAATGCATGATGACTGAATTATACTATACATGTTAACCAATATCACATGAATGAACAGTGAATTGTTTAATGATATTGGGATGTAAAATTTAACAAATTTACATGTATGGCATATTATTTATATTCCAAGACAATTAGAATTTTTAATTCATGACAACATTCTTAAATTTGTCATTTATCAGTTGTAATTCCAGGAAAAAAAAATATTTGGTACATGTATGTCATATTAATTTTAAAGAATATGCATTTTGTGGGAATGGACATTCAATTCACAAGAGTAAGAGAGAAGGGGAATTAAATCATGGTTTTGTTAAATGCCACATGAAAATGATAGTGCAGGTTATTGATCTTTGTACTTGTAAGGTTTTCTTTGTGGTAATTACTGAATATAAATGGGATGGGAAAGGGTGGTAGAAAAGAGAGAAGACTAGTCAATTTGTTTTACTAGTAGGATTAATAGTTTCAGTTTTGTAGATATTATAATGTACAGACATAAGCAGATTGAATTATGTATAGTATGTAACGTGGTAATTCAGATTTGTGTATATGTGGAATCAATTATGTTGCTTAAAATTTTCATTTGAGAAATTAAAACAGTTTTGTCAGTTAGAACCAACTTGTAAGAAAATTGATTTTCTTTACAGTAAGTTCTCCCTTTGACTTTTTTTTTTAAATTTCCCAATAAATGGGGGATTGGTTCTGAATTATTTGTCTATCAAGTTTTTGAAAGCACTAAAACAATTATAGAAAGAAATTGGCAATATTGATGTAGACAGTAAAAATGCATAGTGAATCAGACACGATTTTTGTGTATAGTATCGGTGTTGTATGAAGCCTGTTTTTATGTCTTTTATTAAATTATCTTGTTTCTATGTTAACTAAGTTATTAATTATTTAAGTGTATATTTCCAGCAGCTACATTTATGTTCATGTTTTTGTATCTTTTTCATCCAGATTAAATTTACATCCTATTTCTGAAACTAACTAAGTTAAAATTGTGCTATTGTGACTGAATTTCTTTTCAAATGACAAAGTAATTCAGATTTATGTATGTCAATGCAAATCAAAAGAATTTTTTTATCAAATGAAGTGTTGGTTTATTTTAATCCATTTTATGATTTTCGTTGCACAAGAAGTGCATACAGTCTAAGTCATTTGGAATGATATCATAATTACTCTAAATCCATTTTATGTCACACATTTATACCAAATATCATTATTATGCTTTTAAACTGATTTATTTGAGTATATGATTTCTATAGGGGAACCAGTATGCTGGTACTTATAATTGATTCCCCAGACTTTCAGCATTTTATTTGAGTAGGTTGTCTAAGAAAGTAGGTTGTATTAAACTTTAGTTGTCATTGTCAAGTTTTGCACAATGTTTTGCTCCTTGTTTTGCCAACCCTACATATAGGTATTGACACTTTACCCTTGTTCGCAAGTTTTACTCATTTTAAGGGTCTTCTTGTTTTCATTCACAATTCATACAATATGATTTTGTATTTGTAATGCATAACCTTTTTTTATAATATCTATTAAAAGAACCATAAAACTATTGATAATATGATGTTGTTTCATTTCTTCCTTTAGTAGAATGGAGTAGATTGGGAATGTACAGTTGACGTTTGATAAAATGCTCATAGTCTATTAGTATTGTTTTCAATTTCTAAACTTAGATTATAACTACATGTATCTTGTAGAATTAATCCCCTATGCAGTATTGAAACCTGGAAAAATATAGACAATTGCATTAAGTATTTTATCTGGAACACGTGTGGTTTTTTTTAGCTCTACTGGTCAGAGACCAGAAGAGCTTATGCGATAGTAAGGTGTCCGTCGTCCGTCCGTCTGTCTGTCTGTCTGTCTGTCCGTCTGTCTGTAATCAATTTTTCAAAACGCTACTCCTCCTACAGTTTTGGTCCGATTTCAATATAACTTGGCACACAAGTAGACTGCACTAAGATACATAATTTAGTGCATCGGTTTTTGATTTCGATGGATGGTGTTGTCATGGTTACTAAAAATAGAAATTTCTGTGAAATTCCTTTAAAGTGCTACTCCTCCTACAGTTTTGGTCCGATTTCAATATAACTTGGCACACAAGTAGACTACACTAAGATACATAATTTAGTGCATCGGTTTTTGATTTTGATGGACGGTGTTGTCATGGTTACTAAAAATAGAAATTTCTGTGAAATTCCTTTAAAATGCTACTCCTCCTACAGTTTTGGTCCGATTTCAATATAACTTGGCACACAAGTAGACTACACTAAGATACATAATTTAGTGCATCGGTTTTTGATTTCGATGGACGGTGTTGCCATGATTACTAAAAATAGAAATTTTTGTGAAATTTCTTTAAAACGCTACTCCTCCTACAGTTTTGGTCCGATTTCAATATAACTTGGCACACAAGTAGACTACACTAAGATACATAATTTAATGCATCGGTTTTTGATTTCGATGGACGGTGTTGCCATGGTTACTAAAAATAGAAATTTCTGTGAAATTCCTTTAAAACGCTACTCCTCCTACAGTTTTGGTCCGATTTCAATATAACTTGGCACACAAGTAGACTACACTAAGATACATAATTTAGTGCATCGGTTTTTAATTTCGATGGACGGTGTTGCCATGGTTACTAAAAATAGAAATTTCTGTGAAATTTCTTTAAAACGCTACTCCTCCTACAGTTTTGGTCCGATTTCAATATAACTTTGCACACAAGTAGACTACACTAAGATACATAATTTAGTGCATCGGTTTTTGATTTCGATGGACGGTGTTGCCATGGTTACTAAAAATAGAAATTTCTGTGAAATTTCTTTCAAACGCTACTCCTCCTACAGTTTTGGTCCGATTTCAATATAACTTGGCACACAAGTAGACTACACTAAGATACATAATTTAGTGCATTGGTTTTTGATTTCGATGGATGGTGTTGCCATGATTACTAAAAATAGAAATTTCTGTGAAATTTCTTTAAAACGCTACTCCTCCTACAGTTTTGGTCTGATTTCAATATAACTTGGCACACAAGTAGACTACACTAAGATACATAATTTAGTGCATCAGTTTTTGATTTCGATGGACGGTGTTGCCATGGTTACTAAGAATAGGAATTTCTGTGAAATTCCTTTAAAACACTACTCCTGCTACAGTTTTAGTCTGCTTCTAATATAATTAGGCATACAAGAAGACTATACTAAGATACATAATTTATTGCATTTTTTTGAATTCGATGAACAGTGTTGCCATGGTTACTTAAAATAGAAATGTCTGTGAAATTCCTTTAAAACGTTACTCCTCCTACAATTTTGGTCTGATTTCAATCTAATTTGGCACACAATTAGAATACACTACGATACATAATATGTATTTCTGTTTTTTTTTTATTTGGGTGAATGGTGTTGTCATGGTTACCGGTAATAAAAAGAGAAATTTCCGTGAAATACTTTCAAAACGCTACTACTCCTAGTTTTTTATTTGATTTCAATACAACTTGTCACAAAAGTAGACTACATTAAGATACATAATTCTATTTATTGTTGCATGTTGCAATGTTTCAAATCCAAGTGCTACTTTTCTTTTGTTATACAAACAGACCAGTAGAGCTACAGTCTCATCAGAGACAGTCACTTCTGGTTTTCCTTTACAAAATAATATTTCATAGCTAGAAAAAAATTGTAGGTATAGATCTGTTGGGTAATTTTTAGGTGAATCTGTGGGGTAAATTTTGGGTGGATCTCTGGAGGGTTTTTTTAGGTGGATCTGTTGAGTAACTTTAGTTGAATTTGTTGGTAATTTGTTGACCGCTCAGCCTTCTTATATGTAAAGCACAATGATAGATGTGACTCGTATCCCCTTGTTGTTGGCAAAATCAGACAGATGCATTGATTAAAAATTAATCTTTTCAGGCCCATAGGAAGCAATTTCAGTTTGGGGAGGGGGGGGGGGGCACAGCCATACGTTTTCAGTTGGGGGAGGGGGGCACTATCGACTACCAAAAATTCCTTGACAAGCAAAAAAAAAGGAGGTGGGGGGCATCAGACGTTTTTATTGAGGTGGCACAAACATATATATAGTAGCTATATTTTCTATAGTAATTTATATACCCCCCCCCCCCCGGTTCCTGCGGACATGCTTTTATTATACGTGGTACGTTACATGGCAATACATGCCATTTTAATTCTGCCTGTTTCTTGCAATGTATTGCGTGAATTTAAAAGAAGTATTTCAATAGCTAAGATCTGTTAAGAAAAAAAAAATTTAATTATTTTTATAATGACCATACTTAGCGCTACGTTTCACAGCTACCTGACGTTTTTAACATTTTCTTTATAATAAGAAAAAATCCTATGCTATAATATATAGGCCTAATAAGGGAATTTTTCCTAACTGTGAAGAAAATGTTAAAAACGTTAAGTGCCTGTGCTACATTTAGTATGCACAGAATGCATCATCGTAATCAATGCAAGTACACATGCTGAAGAAAATGCAAAAAAGTGACGGAATTCATGGCAATGACGCAAAAATTATTGTCATTGCCCAACTGCATGGTATAATGAAGAGGCACTTAAGAATTTTTTAACCGTCAAAACCCGTCATATATTCTGTTAAGTACCTAAAACCTATGTGAACGGATATTATAAAGTGGATAGTCAACATGTATAAAATAAGCCGCAGCATGGGATCACCACACCAGATTGTAACAAGAAGTTTAATGAACATCTCATAGCCTCCAAGAAAAGTAAGTAACTATTGCTTAAGAAATTATTGTTTGTTTCTATATATGTAAACTAAAAAATCTCTATATACAGCATACATTGTACATATCAAGTTGTTTTCGTGAATCCTCTGACGCTTTTAACCAATAAAAAATGTCAATACAAAATTTTAATTAAATTCTTTTTTGACTAGTAGAAGGAAATGGAGGGACTTTACTTTGTGTGTTTGATCATCCTTTCTGCTGTTTCCATTTGCACCGTGGATTGCTGCATGTGCGACTTTTCCAGTCGTCCAGATAAAGTATGCATGGCAGATTTCGGTTAGTACGATTTCCTTGAAAAGTTAGAATATTGCAGGAAAAAATTTAAAAGACAGCAGATTATAATAGCATGGCATTTTTTCTTTGCAAATGAAATAAGATTTTACAAGCAGCTAGATAAAACAATTAAGTACATGTATATTTATGGTCAAGAATTGAATAAATTCATGTGAAATTTGAATCATGTTTTAAAAGAGATTGCTAGGTCAACAATAAATATTGCAGTTTTTCTCCACTGTTGCTTGAGTAAATCCTTGTCTTTAACAGTTGTCAAGGCTAAAATACTGAGAGAGGATTTAGATTTTGGCGAATATGGCGATTTCCCAATGCTGAAAAACTACACTGTCCTGTACAAGAAAAAAGACATTTTCAAGGTATAATACTAGTATATGGAAATAATATTTTGCATTTTTCGTTACAGAGACCATGTTTGTCCATATAGATCAGTGCAATATATAATTCTAGCTAAACGAGTATGATAACAGATAATCAGTTATATAGAATGATTTTTTTTGTAAAGAGAACTCAGAAGATGCTTTTATTTATAAATGATGCATTTCTCTCTGCTTAATAGGGCAGCCATCTGCTTGGTTCTGGTAATACTGCAGTGATCCAAACCTCTGGCACGCCATGGAACTGCGGAACAACATTTGAATTGAACAAAAGATACTTAATATCAGGTACAATTAATCAGCATCGATGCTTATACTAGAAACAAATCAAAAATTAAGTTATACAGTAAAAATTTATATATATCCTGATTTATTTAAATCAATACAGTTGTTTTAATTTACGTTTCAATTTTACTGAAGGGTTTGAGAGTGGTGGAGAATTCTTCACTAACCTTTGCCAATGGAACCCAGAGTACAACACTCTCTTATCTAAAAAGAGACGGGAAATTAGAAATATGTGTCGCGACCAAAGCGGGCCTGAAAAGGCAACCAAAGTGGTTTAGGATTAAAAGGTTAATTTAGAGTCGTTTGGAATAGTCCGAAATAACCCTCTTTGGAACATTCTTTGATTATGACGGAATGTCTAGTTCAACAAAAATTGCGGCCAGAAATTATACCAAATTTTATCAGAATGCTTTCATTTTCTGTAATGGTGTTTCCTAGAGGACGATTTTTGATAGGAATGAACGCTGCTTGTCGACATGGCAAACGAAGAGGCTGCCAAGCATCGCAACACAAAGTCCATGTTGTATGATCTTGCTATTTCTTGTGTGCAAACATTTTTTAAAAGACTAAGACCACGGTTTAGGGTTTCTGTACTGTTTAAATATACATGTATGTTGTACTTTGTGACATTTCAAGCATTAAGTATTCATTTATTAAATAAATACAAAGTTGGCTCTCGAAGAATATAGTTCTCTGCAACGGAAATAGACTGAAAACTTTTTTTGTTATATTGGGGAGTCTACTGGAGCCCTAATATGCATGGGAATGAAGTACAATACAGACAAGTTTGTTTGACATTATGGAGATTCTCCATCAGTTGTCACTAAGCTCTGTACTTTATTACTATGAAATTAAATCAAAGTTATTCAAAGTTGAAAGGCTTTATATATTCTGTTTTAAGTTTAAGAAATACAAATTAAAGATTCTGAGAAATGATACCTATTTTTATAATGTATTGGGAATGTAATACGTGTAATCTGTTTTTATGAATAATTTTGAAGACATTTCCAAATTGTATTGCTTTTCAATTAAATACAACAATATCAGAAAAAAAATCTGCTTCAACTGATTTTTTTAAAAATTATGTTAAGGAAGTATTAAGATTCTTCTAAACAACACCAGCAGTTACATGGGTTCAATTCGAAGTCTTCTTCATGTAACCATGACTGAAATATGCGATAACATTATTAACCCCATTAATTTTAATAATGCTTTACTGAAAAATATCAAATGAAATCGGGCAGCAGGGCTTATACGTTATTCTTAATCCCTCTCCCCTCTCATATCATCTATATCAACCAAATTTATACCCACCCCCACCCTCAGGAAAAAAATATTTCTAGGACAAAAAAACCATTAAATTGATAAGGTAAATATAGATACAAAAGCAATGCTCTAACAATTGATGGGGATATGTATATATGTTTGCCAACAGGGTCATGAATAACGACCATATGGAATTTGCAAAATGCTGACTTGAAACGAGATATTTGAAAGGCTTGTAACATCAAGTTATTTGCCAGTAGCCTGCCTGGATTTAAATTGATCGTACTCGGAACTTGGTCTTGCGTACCGAATCAGTTAGGGGATCGCAGCAAGAGTTTTCAGTATTCTTCTCATATAGATTAAGTTTTAGAATAAATTTTGCCTTATATTAGAATATTAAAACGGGTCAGCAGCTAATAAATAAAGGAGCATTATTATAGAGCCCTCTGAATTCCAACAAATTGTTCGAAGACTTGGTCTCTAAAGTCTACATAGATATTGTCAATGAGGAACTCCAGCATAGTTTTATTTGTCATCTTTAGAGTACTTGAGTATAGAACCAGAATAATTTTTAACAAATTAAAGTAAATTTTGTAGAGATTACCAATCACGCGACATGAAAATTTCTGAGTTCCATTCAAGTTTTATTTAAGAAGCTGATGCCTATGATGCCTTTAATTTTTCGGGAGGAAAAATTTATAAAGCCGTCATTAAAATTGAAAAAAAAAATCATACGTTTTGTTGTTACTGATTTATTGATAAAAAATTTCAATTTAATATAGATTTTCCAAAAGTTCCTTAAAGTCTATGAGAATCCACATTTGATTTACACTACGTCTTCAATATATATGTTGTAGACAGTATGTCTGAAGTAAAATGCAGTATGCTTCGAGTCATTGCATTTATACTTCCACACTGTTTCAGTAGTAGATCGACTACCGTGTAGTCTTACTAAGGGTAAATTAAATTTTTACACATAACTTAGGCTTATTCGCCCTTTGCATTCGGCATGTACAGTTGTATGTCGTGGGATAAAATTAACTAACCTCTCATCTGTCTGTTATAGACTGAGATTTTTGATGAAATTCATTAGGCCTAATTGTTTCATTTACCCCCCCCTTTTTTTTTTTATCTTATTTCATTCCAGACTGTCTTGTCTGTCAAGACACTGGACTAGAAAGTTAAAGATTTTAACCTATCAGCAATGCAACTACTGCCCAGAGGTCTTTGATTCATTTATTGTACATAATTTTATTTTTCTCATTACGGAATTAAATCCGATTTCGTTTCGACGTTTGTTTATTATTAAGCGTCTTCTTAACATTGATGAATAAGCGTCAGGCATGGCGGTGGAAATCGAGTCTGCAGAGTAAGTTTATTTTTTCTTCCTGATTTCGCATAGTCCTTTGCAATAATACTTCTGAACAAAGTAATTTATGTTCTCTTGAATTTGAGCAACTGAATAATTAATGCTTTCGATTATCCCTTTGATGTAACAAGTGCATAACATGAAGGAAAGTTATACTGTACATGCTAGCAGGTCCCTGCAGCTAGTCAATGGTAATGAGCAATATCGAGCCGCAGTCTAAGGCTTTGTTGTTAAGGTCGTTATCCTACTCATTCCTTTCTATATACGAACACTAAAGAAACTGATGATGTAGGGGAAGTTGTGTTAGATTAGGTATGTTTCTAGGTTCTTTTGTATTTGGTTACTTTTTCTGAGAATTGAAAAAAAAATTAATTTGTCATTCTCATAAAGTGATTCATTTTGAAAATGGTTATCATGGGTCCAACTCCAAAGGATCCCTATCTATGACAACAATGCGTCCCATGCAAAAATCAATGCGTCCAAATCCAAGGGTACTGTGTAATAGATATGACATAGGAAATTCTGGTGAAATATGAAAGGGTAATGCTTGAAGTGTTTTATTGTAGCTGTTGGTGGTTTATACTATCAATTGGAAGACTAGATAAAATTTCGTTTTATGTGTTTGTTGTTTATTAATAACATTACGAATCAATCAAGCACATGTCATGTGTAATGGACTTCAAGTTTTCAAGTTGACAGTATTATATCTTTATTGCAAAAATTTCGGGCAAGTGAAGTTCGGACAAGTGAATGTCTTGGTCACACTTGTCTGAATGGACAAGTAGGAAAAAAGGTTAATGTAGAGCCCTGCAGTATCATAAAAAAAATCTTCTGGATATATGTGGTACATGTATGACCGTTTCTAACTAGCTGCATGCACACAGAAAATAGTTGAATAACCCATCAACGTTAAAAATCTATTCTTGGAAATGCCAGTTTTAGGAACACAGTTACTGTAGATCTAAAATATGAAGCACCAAATAAACAAATCAGCAGAGAACTGATGGAATTCTGATATTGTCAAGGGAACGGATGGGGTGAACACTCACTCCCTACGTTGACATTTTTATGTAATGACAAAAAAGGAAATGTAATTTTATTGTTTTGAAATTTCATTTTCAGTGTTGTTAGATTGATAGAACAGTACTTGAAAGAAAATAACCTGTTGAGGACATTGTCAATACTTCAGGAAGAGACAGGAATCTCCCTGAACACTGTAGATTCTGTGGATGGTTTCATTAGTGATATCAATAATGGCCACTGGGACACTGTCTTACAGGCCATACAGACACTCAAACTCCCCGACAACAAGCTCATCGACTTGTATGAACAGGTGAATTGTAGATGTATTATTTTACCAAATATTTGTAATTTTTCTGATGAATAAATTGGCAAATGTCAGTAACGTTTCACTAGAATTCTCATTTACTCTTTATACTTTTGTATTACAGATAGTGTTGGAGCTGATAGAGTTACGTGAGCTTGGAGCTGCTCGATCACTTCTCAGACAGACTGATCCAATGATTATGCTGAAACACAACCAGAACGACAGATTCCTTCACTTAGAGAATATGTTAGCTAGGTCTTATTTTGACCCTAGAGAGGTAAATTACTGACAGGGCATTGTTACAAAGGGGCAATTAAATCTTTATTGGTAGAGATCTATCTGTTCTTGAATAGAAAAAGTTGTGCCTATTTCATTGACAGCTAGTTGCATTAAATGTAAGCTTTTTAAATGACAGTAAATAATATTAGTAACAAAAAATTTCCATTAGGCATATCCTGAAGGCCAGACAAAAGAAAAGAGGAGGAATGCCATTGCCCAGGCCTTGGCAGGAGAAGTCAATGTTGTCCCTCCCTCCCGTCTCCTGGCTTTGCTAGGACAGTCCCTGAAATGGCAGCAACATCAAGGACTTCTCCCCCCAGGTCAGAGGTCATATTAAAAGTCACCTGAGAGCATCTTAACATTTCTATTTTAATTTGAAGGGGGAGGGTCATAAAAGTTAATTGATACTACTTGTCTGATTTTGCCTTACAGGTACAACTATTGATGTGTTCCGAGGAAAAGCTGCAGTCAAAGAACAAGAGGAAGAGAAATATCCAACACAACTCAGTAAAACAATCAAGGTAGACATAAAGAGAAATTCAGATGACATTTTTCACAATGTATAGAGACAAAGGCATTTTAAAGAGGATCCATTAGGAATGTCTTAGTCTGTGTTTGCCAAAATTCCTCCATGAAACTTTAACAATAAATAAATTTTATGACTCCAGATATTTAGCTTTTCTGAGCCTTAGACTCAGAAAGATTGCAATGTATATACTATGGCCTGGTGTGCAGTTTTTTTAAATACTAAAAATAGGGATGTGACCCTGACTGAAGGGAGATAATAAGGAAAGTATAAAAAGTAAAGTTGGTCACTATAAAATCCCAGGAACCAATGGACAGATTATCATACTTAAATATTGAGGATATATTGCAGATTAAAAATTGTTCAAAGCATCACCTTAGGGCAAAGGGCATGGTCTCAAGGTCACTTCAAAATTGACCTTAAATGATATTTTGCCCACTATGTAGACCAGAATTATCAAATCTTGTTCATAAGTGCTTACTTTTTAGCTCACCTGAACTGAAGGAGCTTTTCTGTTCAAAATATATCCATTGATTGTTGTTGTGGTCGTTCACATTTCATCTTTTTCTCCAGAACCACTGGGTTATTTTCAACTAAACTTAGCACAGAACATGTTTGGTTGAAGGGGATTCAAGTTTATTCATATGAAGGGCCACACACTCTTTCAAGGGAGATAATTAAGAATTAGGAAAAATTTAATGACATCTTTTAAAAATCTTCTCAAGAACCACAGAGCCAGAAAAGATGAAACTTATGTTTATTACATACTGTAAAGATTTTTCAACTCATGTCTCCCCTGGGGGTAGACAGGACCATCAATCTAGCAAACTTGAGTCCAATAAAAGGACCAATTCCAATTAGAAAACATAGGTAATCAAAGATTACGAAGCTCACCTCGACGAATGCTATCTACATGTAAGGCAAATTTCACATCATATTTTTTTCTAGTTAGGGTACATCCCAAGATCAATATCCATGCAAGTTTGATTTAATTATAGATCTGCTCAAAAAACTTTTGACCTGTTTAGTAATCAAGAAAATTTTGGTCAGTTCCAACATCCAAAGCAAGTCTGGAAGTTTTCATCCTTAGATGCACCATCTATGCAAGTTTAATCATAACAGGCCATAATATTATATAGCTACTCCAAAAAATTACCCTGGTCACTCATCTGGAAAATGTACGTCAGATTCAGAATCCAAGGCAAGTCTGGAAGTATCCATCCCTAGATACATCATCCATGCTAATTTGGTTAAAATATGGCTAAAATTCACTCATGTGGAAAATCTAGGTCAGATCCAGCATTCGAAGCAGGTTGGTTAGTGTACATCCCTAGATACATCATCCATGCAAGTTTGGTCCAGGTAGGGCTTATAGTTACTTGGGAACGAGACTACTCCTAAATCTAAACCTGGTCTCACATGTGGAAAATCTAGGTCAGATCCAGCTTCCGAAGCAAGTGTGGTAGTGTCCATCCCTAGATGCATCATCCATGCAAGTTTGGTCCAGGTAGGGCTTATAATTACTTGGGAATGGACCTGCTCCTAAAACTTTAACCTGGTCACTCATCTGGAAAATCTAGGTCAGATCCAGCATCCGAAGCAAGTGTGGTAGTGTCCATCCCTAGATGCATCATCCATGCAAGTTTGGTCCAGGTAGGGCTTATAGTTACTTGGGAATGGACCTGCTCCCAAAACTTTAACCTAGTTAACATCTGGAAAATCTACATCAGATCCAGCATCCGAAGTAAGTGTGGCCATGTCCATCCCTAGATGCATCATCCATGCAAGTTTGGTCCAGGTAGGGCTTATAGTTACTTGGGAATGGACCTGCTCCTAAAACTTTAACCTGGTCACTCATCTGGAAAATCTAGGTCAGATCAAGAATCCGAAGCAAGTGTGGTAGTGTCCATCCCTAGATGTATCATCCATGCAAGTTTGGTCCAGGTAGGGCTTATAATTACTTGGGAATGGACCTGCTCCTAAAACTTTAACCTGGTCACTCATCTGGAAAATCTAGGTCAGATCCAGCATCCGAAGCAAGTGTGGTAGTGTCCATCCTTAGATGCATCATCCATGCAAGTTTGGTCCAGGTAGGGCTTATAGTTACTTGGGAATGGACCTGCTCCTAAAACTTTAACCTGGTCACTCATCTGGAAAATCTACATCAGATCCAGCATCCGAAGCAAGTGTGGTATTGTCCATCCCTAGATGCATCATCCATGCAAGTTTGGTCCAGGTAGGGCTTATAGTTACTTGGGAATGGACCTGCTCCTAAAACTTTAACCTGGTCACTCATCTGGAAAATCTAGGTCAGATCCAGCATCCGAAGCAAGTGTGGTATTGTCCATCCCTAGATGCATCATCCATGCAAGTTTGGTCCAGGTAGGGCTTATAGTTACTTGGGAATGGACCTGCTCCTAAAACTTTAACCTGGTCACTCATCTGGAAAATCTAGGTCAGATCCAGCATCCGAAGCAAGTGTGGTAGTGTCCATCCCTAGATGCATCATCCATGCAAGTTTGGTCCAGGTAGGGCTTATAGTTACTTGGGAATGGACCTGCTCCTAAAACTTTAACCTGGGACGCCGACGCTAACGCCGACGCCGACGCCGGGGGTATAGCATAAGCTCATCTCGACTTCGTCGAGGTGAGCTAAAAAGGATATTTTTATCCCAATTTCTAACAGAATTTTCCCAACTTGTTTAAATAGTAACAATAAACATTTAAGTACATGCAGATATATTCATTCACAGTGACCTACTTTTTAAATTTTATTATTAATCATTGTCAATCGTATGTCTTTTATACTGAGAGGCCTAGGATCACAGAGACACTGTTATACAGTTTATCAGAAGATCCATTCTAGGCTATTGGGCCTCTGGTTTCAAATGTTGATTCACCTACATGTATAAAATTCAACAACAGTCGTCCAGTTGTATTCTTGAGAATCAAAAAGCTGACACACACACATTAAAATAGAACCTCTTGCTTACTGAAGACTTTTGTAAACACTTTAAAATCAAATAATATTGATTTGTTGATCCAAAAGTGTTATCTTTAATATCTTCCTATTTTAGTTTGGTCAGAAAGCCCACATAGAGTGTGCCCGGTTCTCACCTGATGGGCAGTTCTTGGTGACTGGCTCAGTGGATGGGTTTGTAGAAGTCTGGAATTTCACCACAGGAAAAATCAGAAAAGATCTGCGTTATCAAGCACAAGTAAATCCTTATCAAAATTTGTCTTCCATCCTTCGCTGGAGTGATTTTTAATTATGACAAAATTGAACTTTGCATCCAGCTTTGTAGAATAATCATAGAATAATCATTGTGACCTATTTATTTTTCAGGACAACTTTATGATGATGGATGATGCAGTTTTGTGTATGTGTTTCAGTAAAGATTCAGAAATGTTGGCTACAGGGGCACAGGATGGGAAAATTAAAGTAAGATTTTCAAATGGAACAATATTGAGGTTATTTTTGTGGAAGAGAATTTCTTGAGAGAAAAATTATTAAATTAAGACCAATTTCAGGTTTCCTCTGAATTCCAGATGTAATAAAATCAATATTTATGTGAGCTGTTATTTCTCTTTGCAGGTTTGGAAAATTTTAACAGGACAGTGTTTACGAAAGTTTGAAAAAGCACACAACAAAGGGATCACATGTGTCAATTTCTCCAAAGACAATAGCCAGCTGCTCAGTGCTTCTTTTGACCAAACCATTAGGTAGCAGTATTTCAGTGTTTTATCTCTTTTGCTCTGGATTGTTGCACAGTTGGTTTAATATGTGTTGAACCAGTCTGATCTTAAATTGAAATCTCATTGCAGAATTCATGGATTGAAATCAGGAAAAACTCTGAAAGAATTTAGAGGCCATACCTCCTTTGTTAATGATGCAGTTTTCACAACAGATGGACATCACATATTAAGGTTAGAATATTTCAATCAGAATTGCATTAAAGGCCAAGTAGGGGAAGGTCATTCTATGATCAGGTAAGATGAAGTCATCAACAACAGGGTATATGTACATTCATTTGAAACCAACCTTGCTTTTCATCTCAGGCAGTTTTGTCATTGAAAGAATATTAATACATTTTTAAAAAGATAAAGAAAATATTTTTTTCACTTTATATATATTCTATGTCTTCTATATTATGTTTACCACTGATACATGAATATTCTATGTGTATGTCATTTATGCATGTATATGCAGAAACCATATTGAAAACTAGAATTGTTGCTAAATATGCCTTCCTAAATAAAAAAAAAGGCTTCACTTTGTATTATAATAGTATGAGGCAATGTTAAAATCCTTGGATATATAAAAGAACTTCTATTACAGTGCCAGCTCTGATGGGACTGTGAAAGTTTGGAATGTAAAGACAACCGAGTGTCAAAACACTTTTAAGTCCCTGGGGGGAACTTCAGGAATGGACATCACTGTCCATAGCGTTCACCCTCTCCCCAGACAGACTGAGCAGTTTATAGTGTGTAACAGATCCAACACCATCGTCATCATGAACATGCAGGGGCAGGTTAGACTGATATTACCTCTCTGTGTAAATCAATATCTCCTAGTCATAGTCTCCTAGTCTTCCTAGTTAAGAGGGTAATTATTTTTGTGTATTAATGATTATATCAGTAAGCCTCATCCCAGAGTCGTCTTTACAGCTTTGTCAATAGACTTAATTTATTCACTAGATAACAGCAAAGACAGTCACTTAGGATAATTTTGGAAAATTTGAAAATTTATTTCGTACTGTACTTTGATTAAGACTTAATTTATTCATTTGATAACAGCAAAGAAAGTCACTCGGGATGATTTTAGACAATTTGAAAATTTATTTCGTACTGTACTCTTGAAATCTGAATTGGACATTTCTTTTTTTGCTTACGAAAAAAGTGCTGAACATGTTGTTAATTGGGATATTTTAGTATGTAATGGTGTCTTAAGGTACATATATATAGTTAGCTGGTGGTGATATTGTAGATTGTGAGGAGTTTCTCCAGTGGTAAGAGAGAGGGAGGAGACTTTGTGTGTGCTGTCCTGTCCCCCCGGGGGGAGTGGATCTACTGCGTAGGAGAAGATCTGGTGCTTTACTGTTTCAGTGTCACCACCGGAAAACTGGAAAGAACACTGACGGTTAGTACAACATTGTAACTACACTTCATATTATATTAAATTATGTAACCTTGTGTATGGGTAAGTCATCACATCCATTTGTCTCTCTGCCATACCATTCAAATTCTGTCTAGAATACCAGGGTAATAAGACAAGTTTCTTTACCATATAGGGGTTTTAGAAGCTTAAACTTACTTACACTGAAGGACATAATGTAATCATAACTCAGGTCATTGGAGGTGGACGATCTCAAAATGTTCAACATAATTTATTTTTCTATTTATACTTTCTTCCTACTCTAATCTAAATCCAGGTTGCTCAAGACAAGGACTGTGTTAGGACTAACTAGGTTACAGTCAAATTTTCAAGGAGACTTGTACAATTTTTTTTATAGTGTTAAAAGATAACATTCTTTACTATACTAGATCTTCATTGAAAGACCTTAAACAAATTTGCCTTCAATGTAAAATCAATGACTTTCATTTCCCACTTTTTTAAAATATGTTGTTTATATTAAAGAAAATATTAAGTAATGAACTTTTTTTTATACAGGTACATTGTTTTGTCAAAATATTGTAATAAATTCAATGCTTTGACAGGTTCATGAGAAAGATGTGATAGGAATCACTCATCATCCCCACCAGAATCTGATTGCTACCTACTCAGAAGACGGTCTTCTCCGAATCTGGAAGCCATAACTGAATAAATTGTTCCAATGATCACTAACTTCATGTTTTTAGCAACTAAGTTGTATGCATTGACCGCATGTTACGTATTTCATTCTGAGAGATTTTTGTCAAATTAGGGACTTCTGTTATAGAAAGTGATGAAGCTCACTGTAATGTATTTATACCCAAGTATGTTGTCAAAATCAGATATCATGATTTAAAATTTAATAAAATATCTTTTAAATATGTAAAAATATGAGTACCTATTATTACGCCAATACAGTCAGGATAACATCTTTCGGATTTCCAGTTTTACTGTATATGATATATGTTAAAAGGAACTTATTTTTTAATAAAGTAACATGCATTTTATAATTGAATATTCGATACACCAAAGGCCTAGACTGCAGCTAAATCAAAGAAGGCTTTGGTCAAGAAAATTTTTACCATTGTCTTTTCGTTAGTCCACTCTGCTTGAAATTATCTTTTTTTGTGTACAGGTACCACACTGAAAACTTCCGATCTAGTGCCACCGGACAGATAATCATAAATTCTAAAAATATGCTACATGAAACTCCAAACTGTATTTATGTAAAAGGTGAAGATAATGAACAGTGATTGATCTCGAAAAAGCTACAAATATTAATACAAATCTGTGGACAGGGAATTCCAGAGGTGGGATCAGATGCCTAGGAGGAGTAAGCATTCCTTGTTCACTGGACACACCCGTCATGAGCCCAATGTATTGAACAGGAAGATGGAACCTTCCATAGTCAATTTTAGTATAAAAACAAAGGCCTAACTATTGTTATGAAACGCTTCAGCCAAAATTCGACCCAATGATAGGTTATATTTTATAACGACCATAGAATTTACGAAATGCTGACTTTAACCCAGATTGTTGAAATCCCTGTAACATCAACTTATTTGTCAGCAGCCTGCCTTAGTTTCAAAATTGATAGTACTCAGAGCATGTTCTTGAGTATCGAATAAATTGGGAGACATAAACACCATGTGCAGGTGATAGCGGAATACTACTACATAAATAAGGAAAGTTGGCGATGGAAATTAAAGCTGAAGTCATCTCATTTGTCATACATTGTTACTTGGCCTTTATCGTCTATAGTCACAAAAACATCCAAATGTAAAATAGATGTGGTATACTCTGTGGTGTCTTTTATTTCAAGTTCACTGGGATATTGAGTCGACATATGAATGGAAATTAATATTGTTAATTGATATATCTGAATATCGAGTTGAAGGCCACAGCAAATGTTTTCTTCTCATGTAGAAGTTTTTGAATAAATTTTGCTTCATAGGAATATACATGTAAAAAAAATAAACAGGTCGGCTAATAAAGGAGCACAATTAGTGTCCATTGAAATTCCAACAGTGTTAGAAGACCTAGTCTCTGAACACTACAGGTACGTAAATGTTGTCAGTGTGGAACCCCAGCATCCATTTGCTATCAACTTCAGAGTACTTGTGTGTAGAATCAGAGTGAGTTTTAACGAAGTAATTTTGTTGATGACCAATCACAAGATACGAATTTCCTTGTTCCAATTTATTGAAAAAGCAGTTGTCTATGATATCAAAAAGCCTGCAGTTTTTAATTGATCGTGAGGAATGGTTGTATAAAGTGTAAAAAGAAAAAAAAAGTTTTGCGTTTTGATATTACTGACTTGAAAAATATAATGATTTTAAATTTTCCAAAAGTTTTCTGTAGTTTTTGAGAATCCACTTCTGATTTACACCCGACTTCTAGAATCTGCTGTAGCACAGTATGTGTGAAGTTTCCCCTTTACACAAGTTAATATTTTTGTAAGGAGTAAAGATAGGGGCTTGGTAGAGCATTTGCTATGCTATGAAAGTGTAAAACACGATTAATTTAAGTAAATCAGTATAAATATCCAAAAATGGTGCTTACTTTTCATTTATACACATTGATCACATACCTCAAAAATTTTTCGAAACAACTCACCATTATAGACAATATACAGTTACTGAATAAAGTATTCTAAACTAAAAAGTGATATCAAATCATTTGGTTAAAAAGTATACATGTGTTTTATTTATAGAGGCTCTGATCTCTGTTAGCACCGTGTTAGTTCTAAGCTCTTGAGGAATAACAACCCCAGAAAGCTTCGGGTGCGTATAGTATATACAGTGAGAGATCTTGATCTAGAGCCTTATGTGAGCAGACTGTGTACATTATGTAGCACCAGATCTTGCCAAGATATTGTGGTTTTCTTCAAGTTCAATACCAGATAATTTATAGTCAGATTACTTCATCCTAATATTCAAGGAAGATGACAAACATGTGGTCTCCAATTACCATTCTGTTTCCCCTGACCCCAGCCTCTTACAAGATATTACAATACATCTAATACAATCTCATGTAGATAATTTTGACCACCATTCCATTCTCAGCGACATTCAACATGGCTCTAGATCAAGAAGCAACTTTGAGACACAGCTAGCATCATCAGAAACCTTAGCTCGCGCCGTAGATGAAGGACATTTGGTGGAATAGCTCTGATAAAGTACTCCAAAGCATTTGACAAGCCACATGTGAAAGCTTGGATACTATGATGTAAGGAATAAACTACTCTGGTGGATTAAGAACTTCCTCAGCAATAGCCAAGTTCTGCTACATCCACAGCTGAAGTCCTATCTGGAGTAGTTACAGGGGCATCCTTGGCCCACTGTTATTCCTCACTTTCATCAGCAAATTTTGATCAGATTTTGGCAACTCGGAATTCGTTTATTTGCGGATTACTGCAGTGCAGAGGACAGCAGTTTTACAAGAGGACCTGGCAGCCTTTGAGAAATTGAGGTGTAGAGGATGATGTTTCACCCAGAGGAATGTGTGGTGATAGAGGTGGTTTTCAAAGACAAAGTTATCAGCGTAGACTAAACATCCTACACAACATGCACAACCATCAATTAGACTTGGTTGACTCAAGATGTGTCTAAGTATAGGAAAAATTAGCTTCATCTTATAGTGGGATTAGCACATTGATAACATAACAGCAAAAGCAAACAGAACGCTTGATTAACTCAGACAAAACCTTAGAGGGTGCAGAGCATATTTAAGCACGAACCAGAGCATATGAGGCCATCAATTATCCAATATATAATATCTTTGCATCTATCTGGCATCCCCATACTACTAGTATTTCTTAGCCTGCCCAGATAGAGAATGTACGTCCAACGCACACAGAGAAGTAGGATTTCTGACCAAGCCACTACTGGGACCAGCAACCAGGAAGGTCACCAACATAGCTTGGATGGGAACAGCTATTAGTGAAGAGAGTCAGAATCCGCCTCTGCATCGTTTTAAAGATTAAGCAAAACTTGGTAGCGAGCCAATCTTACTACTACCTGATCCATTATAGAAAGCAGAACTAAAAGCCAACATCCTCCATATACTTACAACCTGGAAGGAGGTTTACTGAGTCTCCTATATTTTCTATGTATCAATCAGGATTGGGAAAGATTTCAACCGGTAGCAGCAGCAGCCATTTCCATAGAGGAGTTCTGGACAGCACTTAGCAGTTTACCTCCGACCAGCCCAGTCTCATGTGGAGGTTTTTAAACTTTATATTTTAACTACATGTATATATACTGCATGCTAGGTTTTTATCCTAAACAAAACAGGAAGTGTATAATACTCAACTCTATGAGCAAATTCCTTACCGTAAGAAGAAATAACTTATAATCCTCTCTAAATATTTTAGACTCTTATTTCATTCAATATAACTACAGTACTGATTCCAATAAATAGATTTAAATGAGCTTCAAGCTCAGCTTTTACAAAAACAACAACGAACACAAAAAGTTATTATTGTCACAGGATTATTATTTACTATATGTTACTATGTATGATAATTTGCGCATGCGTCATCTCATTCGATCATTCATGGTTTGAAAGTTCATGACCTCTGATGTCATACGGTGAGTATGGGATGTGTATTGGTGTGTTTGACTGGTTTTTATAGTCATTGCACATGGCTGGCGCGAATTTTATTAACCTTTGCATGCAGTTCTATTATTTTAAATCACTTGATGAAAAACCTCTGAAATAGACGGACGTTACCAGGACTGTTATTGTCCGTAACTTAGGCTTATAATTAGTAGTTTAATTCCGTCTAGATCCTTCGACGTATTTGGCTCCAGTCTTTGATACCCCCTTTTTCAACTCTTCAAAAATTATTTTTAATTAAATATTTCGGATTTCAAAATATTTAATGTGTGAATGGACGGTACGTAAGTTTTCATATTTATTGTAGATCACCATGTAAATGATGATATAACGTTATATAAAACACTTCATCAAATACCATCATGTCGATGGAAGATAAATAAAGTACATTAAACAGTTGTCCAGAGTTAACTTAACGCTTCCTAGTACTTTCAGTTCTTTGATTTTAAATGGTTTTCCCCTCCCGGAAATGAACTTTGCTCTACAACAAAGAAGTCATGAAGGATCTAAATATACGAAAAGCTACGTCCGATGATTGCGAGACACTTTATAATTTACTAAAGGTAGGTTCCTTTAACCTCAAATAAGGTCAAGATATAAAATGATACTCGACATTTTGAGACTTTCAGTCACCCGCAAATTGAAATAGCTAAATACAATCAAAGTAATGAAAGTACTGGGATGAGCTGAGCATTTGAGTAACGGTATGTGTATTACAAGAGAATGAATAAAATGTTACTGAATGGATTTATTTCAAAACAATACTTTAGATCCTCTACAAACTGCATGAATACATTTCGTCGGCAGATCTACGATTTCCCTTCGGTATTCCATAAGCTGAAGGGTCGAATGGCGTTGGGATGGGACAGTCTCTTTGTTACGCTCCGAAATTCTGATGTGGGTTGCGATTGTTATAATTCAGAAATTGCCTATGCATATATGCAGCTACATTTCAATGAACTGTAAATCTTTGTGATTTTAAAAAAAAAGATATGCGTAGTCCTTAAATTTGGTTGAGTCATTTAGGGCGAATTCATCATACATCGAACACATACTGTACGTGCACATAAACTGGCATATTAAAAATTTAGCGCAACCACTGGGCATTGAGTGGTTGGCATAATCATGAATTAGCGCTACACACGTCTGTACCGTGTATTATATTTAATATTAATGATTTATTAACGGTATGCATTAATTATCGCATTGTTGTGTGCGCCAAAGCCAATAAAATATGAAGCCCGATTTTTAAGGAGACATACAGTACTTTGCTTCGGACAACTTTCATCAGTACTGTACATCTCTGTGTTTTGTCTTGTTTCCGCTAACAGCCGAAGTTTTAAACTTTTTAAATATGCCGATTTTTATTATCATCTGGTTTATTACTAGAATTGCCTTAAAGTGACTTTATATTTAACATCATCAATGGTGAGTCAAAGAGATTTTATGATTTTGCTTATTTTCAGAGTTGTCTTTCATTCATTAGACTTCAGAGAAAAGATCCCGTCATGTATGGATCTTGTTAATGATTGATAATTTTATAGATTCAATAAAGTTCAATTCATAGTATGGATTATTCTTCACAGGGTTGGTTTTCACTAATATGTTCCTTTCACCATGCATTGGACAGAAATTAACCATGCATCTGATACTGTCCAAATGCATAGTTATTACTTCCTTTTCGTATAGATCGAGAATCATGTATGATACTCAACTGACAGCTGTTTTTGCAGAAATGAAAAAAGGTACATTTATATAAAATCAACTCATTCAGTCAAAATACAGGTATTCGATATTTGACAACCCCGGATTTCTCTTTCTCTTTAAAAATTAGATATTAACCCCCAAGAACAAAGCGCAGTTGCCGTGCGACGAAAAAATGCAGGACTATCTTAACCTAAGTGATGCCACATTTTATGGACTAATATAATTCATCAAATAAAAAGTGTAAAATTTTTGAATGAAGAATAGAAATAATTTAATTTTCTAACTAGTAACTGATAAACTTTCGGAACGTGTTTTAAGGGCCTCGGTGATAAAGCTAGGACATTTCCCGATATACATGACTGTACCTTTTGTCCGATGCATGGTGAATGTTGTCCAATCCATGGTGAATTCTGGTTCATTCCATAAAATTTTTATTTTAATAATATTTTCTAGACAAATAGCACATAAATGTGCCACAAAGTCATATTTAATCATTATACACTGTTAGCTCAGTCTTAATAATATTCGGTCACTAGTCAGCAATACCGCTAAAACTGTCCGATGCATGATGAACCTACCCTATTTGATCATAAAAGACACCAAGACCATTAAAGACTCAAAAAAGTTATTTTGTAGTGGTGTGTACAAAGATATTAACCAGGTTGATTTTTAACCAGCTAGTATCAGTAACTTTTGGAACATTCTGTCAAAATACGACAAATACATGTCTGTCCAAAATATGAATACTTTTGTAAATGATGCTTTTTTGCTTTCGAGGTGAATTATGACAATCTTCCTCTAAGTTTGCGGATGTCTCTCAGTTTGTGTCGATTTTATTAATATTTCAGTCACTGATTCTGGTTTTTTTTTCTGCTTCTATAATTAAGGGAAATTTTTGATTATTTTTTGTTGACCTCAATAATATTTTGGACAGGAAATGCGAGAAGGAGAGGGACGCCTGGAAGCATTTATTCTGACTTTTGAAGGTAGATATAAATACATGTATATAAAGTCCAAAGAAAATGTATAAAACTCAAACTTTAATCCGAAATGCTTTCACCCCCTGCGGGCTCGTCATACAAAATAAATTATTTTTATTAAAATTCTGACGCAAAAATTTTAATTTTTTACCAAATCAAAGAACTCGCTTTATTTATTACATTTTCAACAGTGAAATACTGTGATTTATTTATTGAATAAAAGTGATATTCTCTCACAGTGTGAAAGGATACCAAAATGATATTCTCTCACAGTGTGAAAGGATATCAAAGTAAGTAAAAATAATTTCTGGCCTGTCACAAGATAGAGACAGTAACTAAGCATCTTGATTCTTGATAGAGCTAAAACTGCAAATTTCTTCCCAAATATGTTGCTAAAATCCATGCTATGTAATGTTTTCAATCACACAACTGCTAAGCTATGACGTCTCAACCACTCAACTATGACGTCAAGCCTATGACAATGTTAAGAAAAGACAGAGGCAAAGGGAAAATCAAAGAAAATGTAATAAACAGAAAATTCATTGTTTTGTAGATGAATATGTAATTTATTTCACTCGTGAGACAGGATTTTTTTATATTTTCACTCGTGCTTCGCACTCGTGAAAATATAAAAAAAATCCTGTCCCACTCGTGAAATAAATTCCATATTCATCTACAAAACATAGAATATCCTCTATTTATCTAATCAGGTACGCAAGTATTAAATATAATATTTAATTTTTTTTATTATTATTTTTCCTTTTTTTAACATCAAGAAAGAATACAAGTAGGTGTCTTAGAAACTCATACTTCAAAATTCTTTTCAGATTTTTATAAACATTATACTCAAGACATTTTTTAAAAATTAAATTGTCGTCCAAATTTACTCATTTAGACTAGCTCTTATCTGTTTCCGGTTTTTATTCTATTTCACTATGCTTATAAGTATTGTGTATGAATCAAGTTTTCATACCATGTTTCAATTATTTCAGAATTCAAACGTGACGGGTTTGGAGAAGATAAACTTTTCGAATCCCATGTCGTGGAATTAAAAGACGGTAAGATTTAGCGTTCAAAGTCAATACTTTGTATACGGAAGTTATTCCTTATCCAATAGGGTTCACAAAAAAAGTTCAACATCAATAAGATTCATGAATCAGAAAAAACGATTTCTGTTGCAGAGAAAATCCTTAATTTGGTTCATATTAAAATTCAGTATACCATTGATTGATACTTTTATAACGGTTAATCAGTTTCTGTTATGGTCCAACTAAGTTTCGCACTCGGTTCCATTGAAAAAAAATGCAATTAAATACATGTAAAACAAGAATTTTAAACAGAAAGTCATTGATGAAATTCAAAGGATTAAAATCATATTTCGCACCAGACAGAGGCCTCTAGAGAAATGTCAATAATTTCATAAATTTGCAGGTAAGGAAGTGATTGGATTCGCCATGTGCTTTTTTGGATTCAATGGAGATTGTGGGAAAATCCTATACTTAGAAGACATTTATATAAAACCAGCATACAGATCCAAAGGATACGGGACATTAGTTTTCAAGTATATAGCGAAGGTAAATTAGAAGATAAAATAGGTGTATTTTTTTTTTTTACAGATATCACAACATAATCCAAGTATATAGCAAAGGTAAATAGAATATAACAAAGACTGCCATTAAAATCATGTTTGTGATATGACCCTTGATTTAATGGACTTCAAATATTTCTCGGAAAGATACGAATGTCGAGTAATAAAAGTGTATTTTTATGGAATAGTGGGTTATTGCTCAATATTTTTGTTAACCTAACTAAGAATGTATATTTTTGGACATGCTTTTAATATAATCCTTCCAAAAAAAAAAAAAAAAAAAAAATGGGGCGAAGACCTACTCATATGAAAAAATTGTGTTTTAGTATGAAGAATTGACCTTTCATCTTTTCCCTTTTTGGTGTATATACACTATCTCATAGACGAATATTTTCAATCTTTGTGAGTTGCGATTTGTGGATAATTTACATTAAGTATATGTTAATTTTGAACGAAATACCAAAGAAAATTTTGTCATAATTGACATTTATTTTTTCATTTTTTGTTTGTCGCACAGTACCATTTTTCTCACCATCTTCTTTTATATAGACATATAAATAACTAGACATTTAGTAATATTTCATACCAAGTAATTATTAAGAAAATTTAATTCTTATACCTCGTTAATGATGCATCCAGTGTTTATCAGATCAAAAACGACTCACTGCATATAGAGCGTAGGTAGATCTTAAAGTATTGGGGTCAACTTCTTTTCATCAAGGTTTTGAACAAGCCAAAATGTTATTTGAAAACTTGTAATAATTTGGAAATGCTTTAATCGGTTTTCAGTAAAGATATGACATCTATATATCTGATTTTGACATCTTTCAGGTTACCCTAGATAGCGGAGCTCGTCGTATGGAGTGGTGTGTTATGAACGATCCATCGTGGAACGCGAAAACAATCGAATTCTACAAAAAGTTTAACAGTATCGATGAGAATTTAAAACAGTTGTATCTACAAGGAGATGTGTTAAAGAAATGTGCAGAATTTTGATTTTAGATTAAAAACAATGTGACTGAGAGATAACCATAAGATTTGAATAATAGTCATGTTATGTCCCAGTTTATATTCATGTGCAGTCATATAGTCGTGTACTAGCAATAAATCCTGATATCAAGGAAGTAAAAACTTTGCTTATGATATTTTTGTTCCAGCAGGTAGCCTAATTTTAAATGATTCTTTATGATAACATTTGCAAATTACTTAAATAAGACATAGGCGCCCTGTGACGGTACATATTGTCGCTCTGTACATATTGTCGTCGGCGACAATATGTACCTACCCTCACTGCACATATTGTCGTCCATCGGTGTATATAATGTCGCCGGCGACAATATGTACCGAGACGAGCTCTTTTTTTCCTCCTGCATAATGGACGGCAAAATGTACAGTCACGCATCGGCACGTTTTGTCGTCGGCGACAATATGTACAGTGAACATTTGCACATTTTGTCGCCGATATATTGTGTTGAAGAATATTTACTAAGGTCGACTCGTTTGGTCTTCTCTCACACCGACATATTTATATAAAATTACTCATCAAAATCATCAATCTAAAGAAAACCTTTCGCACAGTGCCTTAAAGGATTCTTTAGGAAGCGTTTCATAATTTTTGGACATTGTTAATTAAGATTGAATACACAATCAACAGTTAAGGGGATGGAGGAAAAGCTATAGTTCAACAGAATTGTGACTATACACACACACGAGAGAGAGAGAGAGAGAGAGAGAGAGAGAGAGAGAGAGAGAGACTCGCTGAACGCAGGAGAAATCGATAACAAAAGGGGGGTCTGAACCCCCTGGAATTTTCAGAACTATTAAATTACCATGTAAAGCTAACAAAAAAATGACCTAAGACACCCAGGAAACACAGGACGTACCTTCTTTTAAAAACGTTTGAAGGAGAGCAATGCATTTGAAGAAAATCTTAGAAAAAATTCTTCCCCGGGCGGCAAGTTCTTTACGTTTTTTTTATCTTGACAGAAAATTTCCGAGTTTGACTTGTCTCCCCCCTCCCGCCCTGGAAAAATATCCTGGATCCGCCCCTGCAACGTTTCCTGTTTTTTCTATCTGATTATCCAATTATCTGAAAATTTATATTTCAAGAGGACACACCACGTAAAAATTTCCTTTACGGAATAATTTAAGCTCTATAAGCATTGGTGAAAAGTTTTTATTTAGTTGGTGATCTGTATAGATTGTCATCCGCACCCCGATTTCTCTCTGTGATGACCTACTTATTAACAAAAGAATTCTACGGTCACTGAATTTTTCGAGTGAAACGCGATATTTTGATAATAAACATGATACAAAGTAATGTTTGCATCAAAATGTTTCAGTAGGGCGTTTCTCGAGGTTAACACGGGTTAAGGTAAGTTTTTAGGATTCTGTTTTTCTTGCATATAATAAAGATCTGTTAGACAATGCATAACTGATTATTAGGTACCAAATTTCTATGTAATTTGTCACAGAACAGGGAAAACAGATTGACATTATCACAGTGTATTTTGTTTCACTTGTTTTGAGCTAAATGGACAGGAAGCTTTTTAATTAAACAGCTGTGATGTTTTAAACTTATTAATATAACCAAGTTATATCTTAGGAATATATACATGTGTTTATTTCCGTGTAGCTTGTTTGGTAACAATTACTAGTATACAGTTTGTAAATTAAATGAAATATCAAATTTTAAAAATATAGAATTACTATTCAAAACTCATCTAAGATTTCTCCACTCTACAGGCACGTAGTATAGTTACTGATAGTTGGGGGGAGGGGGGCAGCCAGGAAAAAAGTTGACATAAAGGGGGTGAACCTTCCTTTTCATGAGGGGAGGGGGGTAGGTTCCAACTTTTTTCCACAACCAAATTTTATTAATACAAAACACATTACCATGATTTAACAACTATACCGCAGCAAAAAATGGTGTCAAACCACCCTTTCAATGAACATCTTCAACAGATAATTAAACTTTGTGTTTGGAAAAAGATGGGGGAGGGGGAGCCCCCCTCCCACGATACTAACGTGTCTGCTCTATCGTTAACAAGTGCCCTATAGACTATAGCATAAATAAAAAGTAGTTATATATATATATATATATATATATATATATATATATATATATATATATATATATATATAATTTTCATTTGATGGGCTGTTTTATTTGCTCTAAATCAACAGAATTATACATAATTACATGCCCATAGGAAACAATTTCATTTGTTGGGACACTATCAACTTCCAAAAATTCCTTCAAGCAAAAAAAAAAAAAAAAAGTCATCAGATTTTATTATTGCGGGGACACAGCATATAGTAGCTATGTTTTCATAATATTCTATACATCGGCAAAATTATTGAGGGAGGGGCACGCCCCCTCCCGTAAGCCCCCCCCCATTTCCTACGGCCATGAATATTAATATGATATCAGATCAAATGTAGCAGTATACGTATTTGTATGCATCATTGAAAGAAAGAAAGAGGATCTCTTTGAAATACCTCCGAATCGTTCAAGCAAGGCTGGACCACTTAGCTAGGTGTAGGGCTAAAGCTTCTGTTCAGTCCACTCATACACATAATAAATAAATAAATAAATAAAAAATATATAGATAATGTATAAATACATAAATTATATGCTGTTCTCTATGTTTGAATAGATGACGTACTCTGTTTTACTGTGGCCAATGATTGTGGCGGGAATTTGTGCCTTGCTATGGATAATGTCGGGTATAGTTATCATGATTGTGCTGAATTCAGAGAAGAAAAGAAAATTAAAGCATATGAAAAGGGCTGGTATGTTGAAAAGTCTGTTTGTCTGTCTAAGCAGTATATATGTATGTATGTATGTATGTATGTGTACTCACTAGATAAGACTAGATAAGAATCCAGACTGATATGAAATGTTCCCGTCAGGCACCTAACATTCTTTATTTTTTTTAGAACAAGGAAATATACCCCCTACCTGTGATTTATTAGGTAGGGATTATATTTTTTCTATGATAAGAAATATAGATAAGTTCAGGTGCCTATAAGGAAATGTTATTCAAATTACAGCAAAAAGAAGACGGAAGGCGATGGCGAAAATGCCTTTGGGTCCAGCAATGTTTCCCCCGGGGATGAGCCCTCCAGAAATGATGGTTATGGAAACAATGCCAAAAATGAGAGACACCCCTAAAGTTGTACCCTTAGAAGATGACATTATCTATGATAACAAACGAGGGAGCAGCGAAATCCGCCGAGGCAGTACTGATATCCGCCCGGATCCATTGTAATAGACCGTTATGAACAATAAATCTATTACATTTTAATAATTTCAATTAAATTGTAAACAAATGACGTTAATAATCTTAACCGTCCATTTCTAATTCTTATTGTTTTCGATTCAAGTCACTTTTGTATTCAGGTTACTTGAAAGCAATGTATTGAGTGTATTGGAATTTGAAGTAGTCTTTAGATATACAAGTAAATGTTACAGTACTGTTTATCACAAAGGTGATATTGGATTGCTTTTCTAGTTTTCTTTAAATTTCTGGTTTTCAAGGGGATGTGAAAAATCTCTAAAAGCGGGTTGATAAAGGTTCTAAATGGCAAAATATTCGAAGTTATCTTATAATCTTACTTACGATAGGCATTACTCATGCCGAAAAAAGGAACATCTAGATATCTGGCTGCATTAGGCCAGGTTTTGACGGTACATTTAGATAGGGCGTCAAAATGTCCATATTGTCGCCAGCGACAATATGTACCAAATCTGGAACCTTTAGAAAATTTGAAATCAAAATTTTACCAAAATCAAAAACATCCAAACGAACGACTTTTCAACACTTTATACAACCATTCCCCACGATACTTTAAAGTCCAGGCTTTTTGACATCATAGACAGCTGCTTTTTCAATACAAGAGGCCCATGGGCCACATCGCTCACCTGAGTAACTTTGGCCATGCTGTTCTTTACCAGATTTCCCCCCTTTTAATATACCTATTGTGGCCCCGCCCTACCCCCGGGGGTCATGATTTGAACAATTTAGAATCTACACTACCCCAGGATGCTTCCATATAAGTTTCAGCTTTTCTGGCCCAGTGGTTCTTGAGAAGAAGATTTTTCAAGATTTTTCCTATATATTTCAATGTAAAACTTGGATTCCCTGTTGTAGCCCTGCCCTACCCCCGGGGGTCATGATTTGAATAATTTAGATTCTACACTACCCCAGGATGCTTCCACATAAGTTTCAGCTTTTCTGGCCCAGTGGTTCTTGAGAAGAAGATTTTTCAAGATTTTTCCTATATATTTCAATGTAAAATTTGGATTCCCTATTGTGGCCCCGCCCTACCTCCCAGGGGGCATGATTTGAACAATTTAGAATCTGCACTACCCCAGAATGCTTCCTCATTAGTTTCAGCTTTTCTGGCCCAGTTGTTCTTGAGAAGAAGATTTTTATAAAGTTTTACTATATATTTCAATGTAAAACTTGGATTCCCTATTGTGGCCCTGCCCTACCCCCGGGGGTCATGATTTTAATAATTTAGAATCTGCACTACCCCAGAATGTTTTCACATAAGTTTCAGCTTTTCTGGCCTATTGTGGCCCCGCCCTACTCCCGGGGGTCAAGATTTGAACAATCTAGAATCTACACTACCCCAGAATGCTTCCACATAAGTTTCAGCTTTTCTGGCCCAGTGGTTCTTGAGAAGAAGATTTTAAAAGATTTTTACTACATATTTTAATGTAAAACTTGGATTCCCTATTGTGGCCCCGCCCTACTCACAGGGGTCATGATTTGAACAATATAGAATCTACACTACCCCAGAATGCTTCCACCTAAGTTTCAGCTTTTCTGGCCCAGTGGTTCTTGAGAAGAAGGTTTTTAAAGATTTTTACTACATATTTTAATGTTAAACTTAGATTCCCTATTGTGGCCCTGCCCTACCTCCGGGGGTCATGATTTGAACAATTTAGAATCTACACTACCCCAGGATGCTTCCATATAAGTTTCAGCTTTTCTGGCCCAGTGGTTCTTGAGAAGATTTTTAAAGATTTTTCGTATATATTTCAATGCAAAAATTGGATTCCTCATAATGGCCCCGCCCTACCCCCGGGGTCATGATTTGAACTATTTAGAATCTACACTACCCCAGGATGCTTCCACATAAGTTTCAGCTTTTCTGGCCCAGTGGTTTTTGAGAAGAAGATTTTTTAATGACCCCACCCTATTTTTGTCTTTTCTTGATTGTCTCCCATTGTAAGGGGATTCGGCCCGTTATTTTAACAATTTACACTCCCATTCACCCAAGGGTACTTTGTACCAAGTATGGTTAAAATTGGCTCAGTGGTTCTTGAGAAGAAGTTGAAAATGTGAAAAATTTACAGACGGACGGACGACGGACAACGGGTGATCAGAAATGCTCACTTGAGCTTTCAGCTCAGGTGAGCTAAAAAACAGAACTCGTAAATATACTTACCTTGCCATAGGTCATTTCCAAATTTATTTTGTTAAAAAAATCTGATTGTACATCAGTGTACTCTGAGGTAGATATTAAAAGGATGCTTGAGTTTCTGATTGACAAATCTATGTAGTTTTTGGAGATCAGGTCTTCCAACAATCTGTTGGAATTTCCATGGGTACGAATTGCGCCCCGTTATTAGCAGATCTATTTCTGTATTCATATTAACCAGAATTTACTCAAAAATTTCTACATGAGAAGAAGAAAACACTTGCTTCAACTCGACGTTTAGATACACTGTATATCGACGACGTATTATCAATTAACAATAGTTACTTCCATTCATATGTCGATTCGATATATCCCAGTGAACTTGAAATCAAAGAGTCTGACACATTTGTTTCATACTTGGATATTTTACTAGAAAAAGACGTTAATGGTAGCCTAACAATAAAACTTTATGATAAATGTGATGACTTCATTTTTTCTATCGTCAACTTCCCTTACTTACTAGTATGTAGCAATACACCCTTATCATGATCACCTGCATATAAGGTTTACGTCTCCCAGTTGATTCGATACGCAAGAGCATGCTCTACGTACGATCAATTTTTAAAACGAGGCAAGATATTAACCAAGAAGTTGATGAATCAAAGATATCAGCAGTCTCGTTTTGAAGTCATCATTTCGCACGTTCTATGGTCGATACAATGGCCTTATCAGGAAGTACAATCTATCATTAGGTCAAGTACTGACTGTCGTTTTTCATACTAATTGTTAGACCATTATTTACACACTGAAATTTCTACGGATTTTTCCGTTTACTTGATCATGACAAGGAGCACACGATGGGTGTGACCGGTCGACAGGGAATGCATACTCCTCCATGGCACCTGATCCCGCCTCTGATATTTTTAGAGGTCTGTCTTTGCTGTTCCCGATTTGTATTGTTTATATGGACTATGAGCTTGAATACTATTCCTTATCTTCTTATCTTATTATACATATTCTCGACCTTCGAGTAGATATATTTACACCGACTATAATATGTAGTAAGATACATAATCAAAAGAGCTTAAATTGTGTCAGGGATATAAATGATTTGACCTAAACACTGATTGAGTTTCTGTATATGTGAAAAATTTTTGATTGTTATTTTACAATAATTGTCTCATTTCTGGTTTGAAATGTTTTAATATGAAAGGAGTATGATACATTAAATTCACCCAAAATTACTTTTTATTTCATTTTTTTTTTCAAATCTAAGCCAAAAAAAGAAAGTATTTTGATGTATAAATATAATATTTTTTGCAAAAAATACTTAATTCTGAATTGCCTTTATTTTACCTATGATATATATATATATATATATATATATATATATATATATATATATATATATATATATATATATATATATATATATATATATATATATATATATATATATATAATTAAAAGTTGTTCAAAGAAAATATAACACGCAATAACTCATTCAAAGTTTGCAAAGCGGTATGTCGTTTTATTATTTTTGATCATTTACGTCAAGTTTTTCATATTTTCTTGACTTCAAAATATGACTTTTTGCTTAATATGTTATACATATTTAATATATATATATATTGTATTGAGAACTATTCAGTGAATTGATCGTAATTTAAAGTGTCCAAAAATGTCTACAATTTGTTGATAGACATAATAATTTCAACTTCAAATAATATCAAGCATTTTCTTCCTTATTTTTTGGTAAAGATTGGTGGAATTCATTGATAATTATAAAACAGTTTTGTTGCTCTCCTGACTGCAGTAAAATTTAAGATAAAAACCAGATAACATACAAATTGATAAAATTTTGGCAACAAAAGTTGTAACGAAATTCTGAAAAATTTAATGTCCCAATACGTCATGATTAAAATACAAACTTGGCTTTCTATCTTGAATTATTCCCTATTAGTATCACAAAACTAGCTAAAAATTTATTTAGAAGGTAAAAGTATATTTTATTGGACACTTTTTTTTTCATGTGATGTCAACCAGACACAATCTACTTATCATTTTTCTTCTTCATAATTATTCATATTCGATCAGCGATAATTCTATCATTTTTGTTGCACTCCTGACCAAGAGCATATGAGTCTTTTCAGTAGAATTGTGAAACATAAATTACACCAGAATGTGCTTTTTTCGGTGAAGTTGTGGTGGAATTACATGAATTTTATAACATTTTTTCAGTGTTTCTTTTAATTTCATAAAAAAAATTAAAAGAGAAGAAATAAACAGATCTAGATTGATAAAATTGAAAAAGAGACAGATTTCAAAAATAAAACTGTCAATAAAGTACTGAATTATTCAAATAGATCCTTATTTTGTTGCACTCGTGACATGGTATAACATTTTTTTTTCAGCATCAGCCATGATCATGACCGTAACTTGGTCAAACAAAAGTTATACTACAGTAGTCTAAATTTAAAGCCCAATACATTGAATTTTTATCAGGAAAGCCTTTATTCCCAACATAAACCATGCTTATTTATTTCATAGATCTTCCAAAAATATTAACCTTTCAAATGTCACAAAAAGATGTTGCACTCCTAATATTCTTAGCATCATTTTTGGACATAATTAGACATCAATGAGATATTTGGCAGGTATTTAACCAATGTCAAAAGACGTATGCTGAGTCATAGAAATTTATTCACATCACCTGTACTTTTAGTGGATTGATAAACATGTGTCCTGTAATTTTATTTAATTCACCCTAAACTCAGATTATTGCGCTACATCTCGCTTCATGAAATAAACTTACGTGACAATTCTGTGTGTAATTATCTCACCAATTACAGTAGCAAATCTAAGGGAAAAAAATCCTTAAGCAACTCTAACTGTGGGGCGATAGTATGTGAAGTGAGGATAGGCTTATATTGTCACCAGCGACAATATGTACAGTATAATTTTTCAGCCGGCGATAATATCTGCTGATGGACGACAATATGTGCAGTGAAGTTAGATGCATACGGTAATGTATCGCCCACGACAATATGTACAGGACGTCAATATGTACCGTCACACAAGTAGATATAACCAGTTTCCTCACCGTGAATCTATTTCACTCGATGATCTACAAGTGTAAGGATGCAAAAATAAAAGTAAACTAAATTTGAATGTGTTGTTTGTTTGTTTGTATGTTGTTTAACGTCCCTCTCGAGAATTTTTCACTCATATGGAGACGCCACCAATTGCCGGTGGAGAGCTGCAAATTTTGTCCTATACTCGGCACTTACGGCCATTGAGCAGTGAGGGATCTTTTTCGTGCCAGCACCTACTACGACACGGGACCTCGGTTTATACGGTCTCATCCGAAGGACCGGTCTCCACGTCCCAAAGTGGCATTCGATTGAATGTGTTGAAGTAAATATATCAAATAAAACATGTTTTACTTACTAAATACTGGTCGCCCGCGTAGCGCAGTGGTTAGAGCGTTCGCTCTAGAGTCGCGGAATAAGGAGTTGATCCTTACGTCGCGGGTTCGAATCCCACTGTGGGACGTGGAGACCGGTCCTTCGGATGAGACCGTATAAACCGAGGTCCCGTGTCACAGTAGTTGTTGGCACGAAAAAGATCCCTCACTGCTCAATAGCCCTGAGTGCCGAGTATAGGTCAAAATTTGCTCTCCACCGGCAAGTGGTGGCGTCTCCATATGAGTGAAAAATTCTCGAGAGGGACGTTAAACAATAAACAAACAAACAAAACCAAATACTGAATCATTTTTGTGAAATCAGTGCACATTATTTTACACTTTTGATTCGTCAATATGATGTATGATTTAGAAAAAAAATTATTACTCTCGGAATTTTTGCTGTTGTGTACGACTTCCAAATTCAATTATCGTTTGTTTATTTTTAATGTAAATTTTTGATTTACAAAACTACATACATGTACAAAGTTCCACATACAGATACATGCATATTTAATGTACATATACATGTATATACAAGAAAAGTAAATATACGAGTATTTGAACTACATGTATATAATAAATATAATAATATGTCATGAAGTAATATAGCAGACCTTGAGTAAGATTACAAGGATGTTTACTAAAATGATATATATAATAAAACACAAGATTGTTAAAAATAGTGACCTTCTCAACAAGATATTTAATTAGGCATTGGAAATTTTGCTGCGACATTCCAAGGTTTGACCTATCTTGATGCCCTGTCTCTGATGACGTCTTACTCCGCTGCAATTGTCGTAGAAGCGTAGATTCCTGAATAAAATGTCACACGTGGGAATCTATAATTAACGACAAGATGGTAAAGGAACGGCATAAAATGTAAACTTTAACAAGATATATCAAAGCCTCAGTCAAAGGTCATATATAGAATCTTTGAAAAAAAAAACTTCAAGGGATCAAAATGTAACGTATAATGAAGGAGATTTATCTATATAACTAACATTAAGATTGAACAGTTGAAAACAAGGAACCTATTAAATTATACTGATTTGCTATATCAGTTTTTTCCAAATTATTTGTGTGTGTGTGTGTTCTAAGCCCTTGTTTTAGCATGTTGCATAAACCTGTGGCCTAAAACTTTATTTGAGCATATTTTAAAGCATTGATAACCTGTCTTTATAAAATGCCATTATTTATTGATCCCTAGATGAAAATTTGCTGAGTCATTTTCATATCTTCAAAAACGTCCTAACACAGAAGATACCTTAATATCATTAACAATGGTTGATTTCATGTCGACAACCCAATTTTTACATTATAAACTTAATAGAAGGAATATATATTCAAAACTTGCTATTCTAAGATGCATTTTCAAGCACTTCTAACATGCAGGATGAAATATTTAGGAATCACAAATCACTTTGTGAAAACCAGAATTAGTGAGAACAAATTGTCTATTTAATTTACGAGTGATGTTCATGTATTAAAAAGAGGATGAGAAGTCAGAGAGAGAAGCAAGTTGACATGAAATCGTCATTCAATCAAATTTACCGTCTGCATCTGATGTCATCAAATGTCGTGTTCCTGCTGTTCTGCTTCTAATGGCAAGTGCAATGGCGTGTCGTCTGCGATATACAAGAAACAGTATGATCACCATGAAGACAGCAACACCAATTCCAACACCAACTGCTGTCATCGTTGAAGCTGAAAAACAAAAATGGGTTTAGTTTCCTGAGACCTTTGTTTCTGAAATTGTTTAAAGTACATTCAAAAGACTAGGTAGTGGACTGAAAGAAATATTTGTTTTTCGTCTTTTATATCTTTAAGACTTTTTTAACCTTGCTTTTCGAAGTCTTTTTTAGTTGTCCAACTTGAGTTGTGTAGCATTTGATATAGATACTTAAATGAGTACTTACATTTAGAAAGTGTGCTAGATTTTGTGGTTGTTGTCTTTAAACGGAAGCTGTTATTGATCAGATTAGAGGGATTTTTGAGTGTGAGCTGTACTGCCACATTTTTACTGTCACCACAGAACTGTGTGGGTGAAGCTTTACACGAATAGGAAACCTTGAAAGAATGAAGGAAAATTACGTTAAAGGCAAGTCTGACATCATAAAGAGTAAAATTATAGTCAACAATCAATTTAAGATATCTGTTCTGAAGGATTCAAATTTTTTCACAGAGATCAGGTTATTATACTAAATAAATTAAATAAAACGTTAACAACTATCTTGGAAATAAACCATTGTGAGTGAATATAATGAAGTCATAACAAATAATAATTGTCATATCGACAAATTTTGCTATGTTTGTGTTTATTGTATGTAAAAACTGTACCGTATCAGAGTTCTCCCCCTTGCTGTATGTAGAGTATGTCAGCTGAACATCACAGTTTCTTATTTGGTAAGATACCACTTCAATACAAGTTTTCTGATTTTCTGGAGATGGTTGAAAAATGATTTTGCAGTCTCTAGTTATTTTCTCTCCGCTCCAGTCTATATTGAAGGCGACATCTCCTGAGACTGGGTATATGTTCTGTACGTTGTGACACGTTACTTCATTCAGACTGACTGAAAAGAAACATGAAAAAGAAGGTATTTTTTATTATCAAGTTAAGAAAAGTAACGCAAAATGCTTTATGTAGACATGTAAATTAAGTACTCGGTAGTAAATTATGAGTTTATATTTGGGTAGCTTTTATTAGATTTTTTTATGTGTTGATGCTTGTAATTGTAAAATTTAAGATTTGCAAGTTAATTATTGAGTACCTTGACTGGGCCATCTAATGTGTTGATCATTTTGTAGACAAGTAAGATTATTATATTATAGCCTTGATTGCATTTATTTATGTGTTGATAACTGTTAAAACCTGTAAGTTAATAATTGAGCTACCTTTATTAGATATACTTAAGTGTTCAGTATTGTATAAATTTGTAAGTTAATATTGGATCTACTTGCGAGTTGATGACTGTATAGATTTGCAGGTTTAATGGTTGAGTAGCCCTGATTAGATTATACTTATATTTGTATTTGTTGATAATTGTATACACTTGTAAGTTGATAATTAAGCAGCCTTGATCAGTTCTACTTGTTTATTGATGATTATGAAGACTAAAAAGTAAATAATTGAGTAGATTTAATTAGATTTTATCTCATATGTTGATAATGCAATTAAAGAGATTTGTAAGTTAATGATTGAGTAGCCTTGATTGGATCTACTTAATATGTTTTGGTGATTGTTTAAACTTTTAGTTAATGATCGATTAGCATTGATTCGATCTTCTTACGCATTCAGTATTGTATAAATTAGAAAATGATAATTGCCTTGCCCTTACTGGATATACATATGTGTTCAGTTTTGTTCAAACGTGTAAGTTAAAAATTTAGTTACATTGATTTGATATACGTATATTGTGTTGATAATTGCATAGATTTGCAATGTAAATGTTTAGTAGCTTTGATTGGAAATATAGATGAGTTGATAATTGTAAAGACACTTGTATAATAATGGTTTGATTAGTTTTGATTAGATCTACTTATATGTTGATAATTGTGCAGACTTGTAAATAAATAATTGAGTAGCTTTGATACGATTATCTGATGCTTTGATATAAGAATTATAGACTTGTAAGTTATTGATCACAGTCGTAGGAAAGATGGGGTGGGGTGGGGGGGGGGGGCGTCGCAACGGGTGCGATAGCACCACTTTATAAAACACGTGGGGTATAATGTTTGAAACAAAATGATTTTTTAAATTAAAGTTATGTTGCCTTATTTTGAATATTTGATATTAAAAAAGAGGAGACATGAATAATGCACGATAACCATTCAAAATTGTACATTGTTATAAAAGAAAATTCTGCTCAGAGGCATTGATAACAAAACCTCCCTTCATCTGAATTCCCCTTTTTAAGAATCTTGGCGACGGCCCCGATGATTGAGTGGCCTTGATTGGATCTACTTATGTGTTGATAATTGTATAAATTTGTAAGAATGATTAAGTAGCCTTGATTGGATCTACTTATGTGTAAATAATAGAATGATTGAATACATTGACTGATTCTATTTATGTGTTGATAATTGTATAGAATTGAAGGAATAATTGAGTAGCCTTGAATTTTGTTGATAATTGTATCGATGATTAAGAATGATTAAGTAGGCGTCATTGAATCTACTTATGTCTTGATAATTATATAGATTTTTAAGAATGATTAGGTGGCCTTAATTAGATCTACCGGGGGGTACTTATGTGTGGATAATTGTATAGATTTGTAAGAATGATTGAGTAGCCATGATTTTGTTGACTCCCTTGTTAAAAACTAGTCAAAAATAAGTGCTCAACATTTAGTATTATTTTTATGATAAAGATTGTGAAGCCTTTGATTTGAAAGAAGTAATTTTGTTTCTGAATAATTAGCTATGCGTATATGTAAGTGGTTGATAAGTATTATAAGTAAATAATGGAACATATGGATTTCTTCGTGATTGACATTAAGTGTATGTTAATGTTATGTAAGAAGTTCGTCAAACTATGTGTATTCTCTGCTACATAAAATGTAAGGCGACCTTTTGACTAGATTTGACTAAATTTGAATCTGAAAAAAAACATGGACGGTAGTGAATTTTTAATAATTCCCTCAGTCAAGAGTGGTTTTACCTTAAAAAATAATAATTGGATGCCACCCACTTAATCACAAAACTGTAAATTAAAGGTCTATGAACCGCAACGAGATAATATACAATGTGTGTTGCATTCAAAATATTCATTCCATTAAAATCAAGGGAAATATAATGCATATAATATATAATGCATGCATTTTACAAGACAGTTTCTGCTAGTACACTTAGTTTGGCATTGAAAATACTTTTCAAATATTAGCCACGAGTTTTTTTTTTAATTTGCATTATTGCTTAAGTAAATATTTTGATGAAGATTGCAATACAAAACATGAACGGATACAATTATCAAATAAGTATTATTAAGTAAAAGAATATACGTTTAGCAGGTTCAAGGATGAAAGATACATCCTTCTATATTTCTAAATTTGAATTAAACAAGAGGTCCATGGGCCACATCGCTCACCAGAGTAACTTTGGTCATGCTGTTCTTTACCAGATTTCCCCCCTTTTAATATACCTATTGTAGCCCCGCCCTACCCCCGGGGGTCATGATTTGAACAATTTAGAATCTACACTAGCTCAGGATGCTTCCATATAAGTTTCAGCTTTTCTGGCCCAGTGGTTCTTGAGAAGAAGATTTTTAAAGATTTTCTTATGTATTTCAATGTAAAACTTGGATTCCCTATTGTGGCCCCGCCCTACCCCCGGGGGTCATGATTTTAAAAATTTAGAATCTACACTACTCCAGGATGCTTCCATACAAGTTTTAGTATTTCTGGCCCTGTGGTTCTTGAGAAGAAGATTTTTAAAGATTTTTCTTATATATTTCAATGTAAAACTTGGATTCCCTATTGTGGCCCCGCCCTACCTCCGGGGGTCATGATTTGAACAATTTATAATCTACACTATCCCAGGATGCTTCCACATAAGTTTCAGCTTTTCTGACCCAGTGGTTCTTGAGAAGAAGATTTTTTAATGACCCCACCCTATTTTTGTCTTTTCTTGATTATCTCCCCTTGTAAGGGGACTTGGTCCTTTATTTTAACAATTTACACTCCCCTTCACCCAAGAATACTTTGTACCAAGTTTGGTTAAAATTGGCCCAGTGGTTCTTCAGAAGAAGTTGAAAATGTGAAAAGTTTACAGACAGACGGACGGACGACGGACAACAGGTGATAAGAAAAGCTCACTTGAGCTTTCAGCTCAGGTGAGCTAAAAAACCGAAACCCGAGGTTCAATGTAAAGAAGATGATTAGTGGATTTAAGAACACATTTAAATTCAGTAACAAGGACAATCACGTATTCTTTGTAATTCAGTCATTTGATGTTAAGCAGTAAGAGCATATATAAAAAAAAAATAATTCCTCCGAAGTGTTGCTGAAAAGTCTTTACAAATGCTAATACAATTTTTAAAAATAAATTCACTGATTTTAAATACCACACACGATTGTAAATCATATTTAAATACCTGTACTTACTTGTTCCTAAGTAAGCTGTTGCTGTATTAATAATCTGGAACACGATGAACATTGACGTGCAAAACCACTTTTTGAAATCCATCTTCAGAGTCTATTCTATCTATAATCGGAATAGGAAATGATCACATGATCATACAATGGTTTGTGAAATGATTATCCTAAAATAAGCATATATTTTTTTAAATGTTTTTTTTTTTTTTTTTTTTTTTTTTTTTTTTTTTTTTCAAATTCCAAGAAAAGTTTTCAAAATAGGAATTGCTGACATGACACTGAATTTAATAACTATAAAAAATAGTCATGTAATCTTGACAGCATCAGAATGAGTTTCTTTTATAGGTCGAATAATTATGTTAAGAGTAAATGAAACTTACCTAATATCAGCTTACATAATTCAGAATAGGCATGTTTTATATAATTAATGTTTTAGACTGAAATTTATTATTTCAATGAGCCAGTAAAACTCCTCTAAGACAGTTACAAATTATGTAGGTGCATCCGTTGTTAATAAATCAAGGCCACAACTTCATTAAAGTTGTCATAATGAAAAGTAAGGAGTTGATCCGCTGCATGTTGTAAAACTTCTGACGACTCGTATATGTCCCAGTTAATGTTGAGTGGCTGTCACAGTATTTCCTGAACTTTATTGCTATGTAGTTATTTAAAACATCTAAGGATAGTAGATATCGTTGTATTTTAGTAAAATGTTGACCTTAAAAAAATATAAAATATTGCATCTAGCTCTAACCTTTCGAGAGTTGTCCCAATTAATCATAATCTTTGCTAATTCATTAAAATTAGGGAACACTGTCAAAGAGTTTGACTTCAGTTTTATAAATTATACTATGTACTGCACATTGCATGAGCATATTTCTGAAGAAAATATGTGAATCAAAATCAAGGCTGTCTTGCACAAGGAAAGATATCTTAAATATGAAACATAGAGATAGGGAACAGTAATTAAGCTCAAAGATGCATTGAAACAAATCGGAAGCAGAGCAAACATGGACCCCTAAAACACATCACAGGTGGGATCGGGTGCCATGGAGGAGTAAGCAACCCCTTTCAACCAGTCACCCCCGCGGTGTTATCATTGTCATGATCGGGCAAACGGAAAAAGTCCCTTAACAATTCAGTGTTTAAATAATGGCCTTACATTTAGTATCAAAAACGTCAGTCAGCATTCAACTTAATGATCGATAGTATTTGCTGACAAGGTCATTGTATCGACCATAGAACTTGCAAAATGATGACTTCAAACGAGACTGTTGATATTCTTATTTCATCAACTTGTTTGTCAATAGCTTTCCTCATTTTAGATATTGTTCGTACCTAGAGCATGCTCTTGCGTATCGAATCAACTGGGGGATATAAATCCAATATGCGGGTGATTAGGGTATATTGCTACGTAAGTAAGGGAAGTTGACGATGGAAAAGTTGAAGTCATCACTTTTATCATACAGTTTTGTTGTAAGGTTACCATTGACCCCTTTGTCTAGTAAAATATTCAAATATGAAACAGATGTGTCAGACTCTGTGGTATCATTTTATTTCAAGTTCACTGGGATATATCGAGTCGACATATTAATGGAAGTAACTATTGTTAATAATTATACGTTGTCGATATATCTGAATGTCTGGATATCTGAATAATATATGTTTTCATATGTTTAGATGATGTATTTCATATATGTCGAAGGATATAAACGGAAAAGAAAAAAGATCAGAAAATCGTACAATGTTAATGAAACCTTTGAATTTTTCTAACAAGAGTATTCTTCTAATTTGTCACCCAGTTCTTCATTATAAAATTATAATTGTCATATGCTAATTCTTTTCTTTAACGCCCAAATATTATAACTATTATTTTAACTCTTTCATAGTCATGGAATTATATCCTAAACGTTTAGAATCTTAACACACTTTACAATTATTCTAATCCTTAATTTCAATTACCCTATTGGTTATTACAGTAAAAAAACATTCTTTAAATTTTATTAGTATTCTCAATATTTTTCTTAAAATTCATGAGAGAGAGAGAGAGAGAGAGAGAGAGAGAGAGAGAGAGAGAGAGCCTTCCTTCACTGCATTAATAAAATTTGGTCAGAGCTTTAAACCTACCTTTTAAGATATAAAGTTTATCTAAAAATTTATACGTTAAAGATATCCTGTCAACTTATTCACAAATTTAAACAAAACATGCACCAGAATAAAAAGTTGTTGAACTAGAGTTAAAAACATAGCCAAACAAACCAGACTTCTCTTAATTTAGGGACATGTGCACACAGGTAATGCAGTAAACATTATTCTGAATGATTGACGCATTCTAGACGTTTCTTTATTCTAAGAATGATTAACAACATCATTCTAGACTATTATAAGACCAAGATATATAAATATAGTCGAAAAAATGTATTAAAAAAATTCTTTACCTGATACTGTGTTCCTTCTTGAACAGAACAACTGAAAGAATTTTCACAGGGAAATAAGGTAACATAGTTATATTACCATTTCCAATGTTGTTGCATAAAATTTCTTCTAATGTATTATTGTTTTTGGATGTTTCATAACCTTTTGAATTGAAAAACACCGAACTCTCTTAATAAATGTCAGTTCTTTCACAAAACGTCAAAATGCCTTGTTACATTGATGAAAGGTTAAAAACTGTAGAATAAAATAAGAAAAATAATTTGTATTTTTAATATGAAAATATTAAAAAGCGATATTCTGTTAATTATTATCATACTTGTCAAAATTATTAGGAATCTGCATATTAGTTGTCTAAATAGTGTCAAGGTAAGTATCATTTTCAGCCATACTCTGACTGCATAGCGTTTGAATACTGATCTTGCTTTCATGTTTCCATTTCACATTTCCAAGTTTAAGTTTTTCGCAAATGAAATTCGAATATAAGAAAGGAGTTGATAATTTGAAAATATTTAAACGAAATTTCATTTTGATTAACTTGCTTTGCTTTAAAAATTTAAAAGGATTCACTATGATGACCTCCAAAAATGAACTAAACCAAATTTTATATTAAAAAATAAGGATATTTAAGCTATTAAATGTTTTCGTTCTTCGTTGACACGTGGAAAATGACAGAAAAATAAATAATCCGTGTTAATAGGTTATGTATTTTTTCTCTACGATGATTGCAACCGTTAATTGTCGCATGGCAAAGAAAGGAAGACATTTTATTGTTTACATTTATATCTGCATAAATTAATCTTATTAAGTGGATGAAAGTATATAAAATATGGTATTTATTGGTCCGCACATCACATTACATTAATGAAAGAGCCCACTTATTAGGAAATCATAATCTTAAAAACGGTTCTAACCAGTTTGATTGTTAATGGATATAAAAAGGACAATCGGTTTTCACAAGAAAAAGTCGAGAAAATATTTAGTGGATGTAAATATATGCTAATTACTGGTGAATTACACCAAATAGAAATTATACCATATTCTTTTGACCATTGCTTGAAATTTTATATCGGAAAAAAAGTCATACTGCTTTTTTAATTTTAAAGAATGAATGTCACAATACGAGAAAAAAGTTAATAAGGTCATGAATTTGCAAATTTGGACGGTGTAAAGAAATTTGTCATAAAATGTCATTCGCTAACTTTTTCCTCAGAGCCGTGGGTTTACAAATAACACATTGAATACAAATTACGAGGTCACTAATTATATTTCACTTGTTTTAAGAGCGAATCTGACCTTAAGCTTATTTTTTTAAGTGAAACATTAGTTATTATAGAATGTCTGAGTCATGACATTTTATCAACTCTTTATCAATGCACTACATCAATTTGGAACTTCATGAAATTTAGAAAATATATTACAAATTCTTATACAAATGATGGCCTTTTACTTTTGAAAGTTAAGAATAGTAATATTCAGAAAAAAATTATGAATGAACTTAAGGCAATATTTTTGTAGCTATATTTCTTGTTCTCTAAAGGTGACCATTTCGATTTGGTTAATTTTATACAAAAATCTTGGTAAAGATTTTCCATTGAAATATCACTTTTACTTATTTTTTTAAGCTGTGCTTTCATATACATGCATATACATAGATAAATAAAAAACACATACATGTGTATGACATGACCTACTTTAATATGACTTTGCTGTGAAAGCTTAAAGTACAGGAATAAGAGAGAAGAAAAAAAGGAACGAAAGAAGGTAAGTGCAAAAGGGTGTGTGTTAGGAATAGTATTCAGTAATACACTCGACTCGTGCATTTATATATAGATTTGATAAATATTACAAATCATAACATACCACAAATATTTTTCCAGTGCTTTTCATACTCCGAAAATTTACATTTTCTCAATAAGTTTTAAAGTTAATATTCTATCTAAGAGTACAATAGTTTTATGGTATTCGCATGCTTAGATTAGGCACATTGCTATATCCTATGTAATTTAAAAATGTTTTTCTTCTTGAATTTGTCAAAAAAGTCATCTCTTCTATCAAAACTCATGAAAAAAGAAATTTATTTATAAACCACTCCTCAATGTGAAACTATATATATATATATATATATATATATATATATATATATATATATATATATATATATATATATATATATATATATATATATATATATATATATATATATATATATATATAAATACATATATATATATATATATATAAATACATAGAAATATTCGAAAAATAAAAGTTTCTACTTATGTGTACAATAGGAACATACAGATGATTCAATTAGTTTGTGTTTAGGTTTTCATTTGTTGCGATAATCCCATGCAAAATCTGAATCTGCAACCAGTAAATCTTTGCTTCTTTAGTGACTTTAAATGCAAGTTCAAATATTTTGTTCCAGTCTGTCTCCTCAAAAATATTCCATTATTTTTCAATTTTCCAGTGCCTTAATTATTGGCCCTTTTCTTCTTAATGAGAATATTGTACATATCTTTACAACCTGTTGTGCTTTTGTTAACAGAAAAGCGAATTAAAAATAAATGGTCCATTTTCATCTTGTTTTTTTTCAATATCTGTACTTTTTAATATTTTTAAAACTCCTCTTTTTAAATCCGCATATTCTACAATTATTTTACACTTTAA